TCATCCAATCCCACAGCCTGAAGGGTATTATCTATGAAAGGCCATTCCAACCTATCATAGGCTTTTTCCAAGTCCACTTTTACTGCTAACCAACCCCAGTTGCCTTTTTTCCTCTTCATGGAATGGATAACTTCTTGTGCAATCACAATGTTATCACTACTTTGTCTCCCTGCTATAAAGCTGCATTGGTGCTGTCCTACCACTTTATCCATAATACCTTTGAATCTCTTGCTAATAATTTTAGTTACAATTTTATAGCTCACATTACAAAGGGAAATGGGTCTGAAGTCCTTCATGCTAACCGGCTTGTCTACTTTCGGTATGAGCACTAGATTTGTGTTGTTGAGCTATCTAACCTTGGAAGGGTTCTGGAAGATGTCTTTCACCATACTACATAAAGAACTTCCAGTAACATTCCAGTACTCTTGGAAAAAGAAAGCTTGAATACCATCTGGTCCAGGTGCTTTGAAAGAACCCATATCAAACAAGGCTTCTTTGATTTCAGCATCATCAACCTCCTTTTTTAATAGCTGTCTGTCTGTCTCACTAAGCAAAGCAAAGCTATTGTTGGTTTGGAGATTTGTCTGACCCCTCAACTCGATTTTGAACAAGTTTTTGTAGTAGGAGCTTGCCATCTGTTTCAGTTCGTCTTGTTCAAAGACCCAATCTCCTTGCAAATTTTGAAGTCCTTCTACTCTGTTTCTTCTTCTTCTGATGACAGCAGAAGTGTGAAAGAATTTGCTGTTCTTGTCACCCCATTTCAACCAGTTGCACCTCAATTTTTGGAACAACAATAGTTCTTCTTGAGCAAGCACTTTATTGTATACTCTTTCCATAATTCAGATTCAGTTTGTGCTAAGTATTGGCTATCCCTTCGACTCCTGGCTCTCTCCACCCCTTCTATCTATGCAAAAGGTTTTTCTTTTTGTTAAGAATGCTCCCTATTTTATCTTTGTTCCGTTGCTAGGCATTTACAATAAACCTTTTCACCTTTTCATTCCAATTCCCTTCCTCCCAAGGAGGTTTGACCACATCTATAAAGTTCGGTTCCAAAAGCCAAGCTGCTTGACACCTAAATGGTTGTGTGCCTAGACGCCCCAATATTTCTTGTCTGCACTAATGAACAAAGGCCTATGATTTGAGCCAAATTTTGACAAGTGATGGACTTTTGCTAAAGGAAAAGCATTACTCCTAAGTGAATTCGAGAAAGCCCAGTCAATCTTTTCCTTCATCATATTCCGTTCCCATATAAATCTGTCCCCCACATTCTCCACTTCTATTAATTGATTGTCTCTAATGCAATCCTTGAACTGATTCATAGAGGTAGTATTTGGTAGCGATCCTCCCAGTTTATCCCCCCTAGAAAGGTATGCGTTGAAATCGCCTACTACTAGCCAAGGTTCATTCATAGTACGTCCCAACATAGAGAGATCTTCCCACAGGGTTTTCTGAAGAATTCTGCAAGGTTCAGCGTACACACTAGAGAGCCAGAAAGAAATGTTGTTTATAGGTTGGGACACCCTAACATGGATACATTGAGTGGTTGAATAAATATAATGGATATTGAGTGTAACTTCATTCCACATGATCCAAACTCCACCAGCATAGCCTGTTGCTTCTAGCCGAATCCAATTATTAAAATTCAACTTGCTTACTATCTGTTCTGCTTTGATTCCACCAACTCTAGTTTCGGTAATAATCAAAATATCCACATTTCTCCCCTTCAAAACATCTCTAACATGACCAGGAAAATTTTTTGAGGCAGCCCCTCTACAGTTCCAAGCTATGATATTCATAACTAATCAAATATAATAAGAAAGGAACCACTTACTGTCTTGGGTCCTTCGGCTCCATTGTTGAATCTCCCCCATTGTCATCCTCAACTTCAGCATCGACTGTTTCAAACCACCGATCATTTATCTTAGTCCCTTCCTTTTCACCTTCAGTACTACCGTTACCATTAGAGGGATCCGGAGGTTGTGATGGCTGATAGATAAGGTGGTTTTGGTGTTTCGGTTTGTCTCTCGACTCTGTGTTTTTCACTCATTACAATTAATCTTGGAATTTCAAGAGGAGTTGTTTGGGCTTGGGGCATCTGGTGAGGATTGGTATTTTCTGTGGAGGCAGAGTTAAAGTCCAGGGGGCCCATCTTAGATAGGGACCCAGTTACCAATTGATGGGTTCTAGTGGGAGGTTTCCTTTTCAAGATGGGTGACACGATTTTGAGTCTTGTAGAAATGTGACGTTTTTTCCCACCTACCTTTTTCTTTTCTTTGGGGGATTGGGCTTCTATTGGGCTTGGGATTGTAGGGAGGTTTGTCTCTTTCAAGGAAGGGTTTGCATCACTTAAGAGGCTAGGTATTTCCTGCTGCTTCATCTTTCCTTTCCTCGCCTCTCTACCTTTCATTTCAACAGTATTGGCTTTGCTACTTTCTCCCTCCTCTGATGTGTTGTGCGGCTATGTCTGCATCACATTTCCAGAGAAAACAAAGTTCTAGTTGTAACATCCTGAGTTTTATCAGGTTTTAATAACCTCTTTTGGTTGATTTTGAGGATAGATTAGTGATTTAATGTTGATCTTGGTGTTCGGGTTGGAATTGATGTATGTTAGAAGGATAGGTGAACAGGCCCCTCAGGGTGTGTTCGCTGTGGCGAACCGGGAGTTCCAGGGGAAAGTGTCTTTTTGGGAAGGTTTGGCCACGGCGAAGTCATAGGGACGCCGCGGCGAAGTTGTTCACGTCAGTGAGGTTTCCCTCTCGGGAAGGTCTCGCCGTGGCGAAGTGAGGGGTATGCCGTGGCGAAGGTTTTCTGGGCGAGCGAGAGTTTCCTCTCAGGAAGCTTTCTCCGTGGCGAAGATTGGAGTTCGTCGCGGCGAAGTCAGGTTTTTAGGAGAGTAATCCCTCTCGAGATTAGTTTGCCGCCGCAAAGGGGGTCGAATCTATATAGTCGCGGGAGGGTCTGGTTCTGCGAAAATTAGAAAATCTGAAGGAGGAGAGAGAAGCTCTGCTAGGGTTTTGATGTTGTGACTTGGGAAAGGTGTTTCTAAGGATCCATTACCTCAAGTAAGTGATTTTAACCTCTAATATACTTTCTTTCTTGGAATTTCTGAGGATTTATGGTGAAACCCTAGAGTTTTCTAAGTTGTTATGGAATTGAGGTTTTTGACCGATTGTTTTGAGTTTAATTGATTGCTTTGGGTTAGTCTAAGTATTTAATCAGTATAGTTTTCTTGGATTTGAAGAACTTTGAGTTTTTGAAATTAGGGTTTATGGAAATGGGAGGTTTGTGATTGAGGATGATAATGTGGAGGTTGATTTTGAGTTTTGTGATTTGGGTTATGTTAAGAAGGGTTAAATTGGATGTTTAATTGGTTTAGAATGTTGTTAAGACTTCAATTGTTCTAATGGGATGTTTGGGGTGTTGAATTCTTATAGTGGGTCCTTGAGGTTTGAATCCTAAATTGATATTTGGAGAGGAATTAAGGTTTTAATGGATTTTTATGACCTTGAAGTATTGCCTTGGTGGTTAAACCCTTTTGAGTTGGGTAGAGTTTTGGTTGGAGATAGGAATTTTGTGTCCCCAATTGTTGTTTTGGCCACATTATTAGTTGAAAGCTAATACATGATGGTTATGTGCTTGTGTAGACCGGTTGTGAGCCTTGTTGGTGCACGGGGCCGTATTGTCGGTTTGTTATTCCTTGCTCAGGCGAGAGGTAACCACTTTCCAATCCTTTGTACATGCTTTTGTGGTATTGTGAGTGGATTTATGTTTTGTGCTCCGAGTAACAACTGTGTTCAAAGTGTATGTTGTATATTGAACAGGAAAACCGTCTTGTGGGGTTTAAATTGATATTGATTGAATTTGGAACTTGTGAAAGATAGGCCACTGAAAGAAGTTAATTGTGAAATGATCATTTACTCTTTTATTACGGTTTGAACATGATGCATTAATTGGGAATTGGTGAGAGTTCTAATTGTTACTACCACATGGTAAGGCCTCCATTAATGCATGATGGTTGGCTCTTTACGTCCCCCATAGTGAGGGATAGGCCTTTTGGCTCCCTACGTCCCCCAGAGTGAGGGATAGGCCTTTTATGGCTCCTTACGTCCCCCATAGTGAGGGATAGGCCGGGTTCGACTCTTGAAAATCTCCCAAAGTGAGGGATATGGTTGATGGGATTGCATAATTGCACTTGCATGACTTGTGTGGCTATCATTTATCATATTACTTGTGTGGCTATCATTTATCATACAATGTTTTCAGGTGAAGACTCTAGGCGTGTGCCATCGGGAAGAGATGCAGAGGCTTGAGCTTAGTTAGCTTTAGGCCTCTAGCCCTTGTATATGTATGGCTAGTATATATTGCCACATTTAGGACCCTTTTTTAAATATTTTGATTGCCCGGCCTTATTGTAACCTGGAGGGAATGTTATCTCCTTATTTTGGTTGGCCGGAGGCCATTTCTAGTGTCTTATGAAACTCTGAATTATTTTGTTGGAAACCATTTGGATGGGCTGATGTTGATGTCTTTTGTTACCCGAGCCGGAGGCTTGGAGGCCCAGTGGATGTTAATGAATGATTTCTAGTTGCATGCAACAGAGTTTAGGTTTGTCTCGAGTTTGAATGTTAATTTCAAAAATTGCGCAATTTCTTTCTACTATGGTAGTTTGTTGTAACAGTTTTCCTTTTCTACCATAGTAGTGATTTTATGACAAGTTTATAATGTTTTGAGGATAAGGGTTTTACACTAGTTGAGGGGTGGAGTAACGTTCTTCTTCCTCTACTCCGTACTTGTAGCTTTTTTCCTAGATAAGCTTTTATTTTCTACTAATCCATTTTCTGCTGAAAAGACAGGCATATTTGCTCTCTGACTGCTTCAAATCTCGTTCCACTGTTGCCTTTCAAATCCTTCATATTTGACTTTCCTTCCCCATTTAATTTCTGCTGGTTCTTTTTATTTGTCTCACTTTTCTAACTTTTTTGACAGAAAGTACGCTTTGCTTACATCCAGGTTCCAAATTCCTCGTTAATCGTGACTCTAGGAATGCTGAACAGTGGTTGTTTCTTGTCAGTTTTGACAGTTGGTGATTCTGTGTTGGCCGTTTGTTTCTCCCTTTCCGGTGATGTCTCTGTTTCCAGTGTCCCTTTAGTTAGGGAGCAATTCTTGCTTTTGTATCCGTATTCACCACACTTGAAACATATTACGTTCAGCCCTTCATATTCTACTATGAATATGCATTTTCTTAGTACAAAGCGAGATTGGAGCTTTCTGTTTAGATCAACCTCAACGCTCACTCTTACGAATTTTCCTCTCTCCACTTGTATACTGTTGTTGCTACCTTGCGTAAGTGTATTTAGGTCGACTTTCAGTGCTTTGCCTATCATGTTGCCGAGTTCCCACATACACTCTTCAGAATACATGTGCATTGGGGGTGTTGGTACTCTGACCCAGATCGCCACCTTTTTGACTCGGTTACAATAAGGGTTGAAATTCGGACTCCATCTCTGAACAGCTAAATAATGTCCTTGTATCATCCATGGACCATCAAATAGTAACTTTTTCCGCAGTTCTACCACTGAGGTTCTGAAGACAAAGTAGTTGTTTGGTAGGTCGATGAGCTCAAAGTGTTCTGACTTAAGGATCCATTGAATTCTATCCTTCATCATTCAAAGATTCGTCTCTCTACCTAGGATAGTTAGGATAAGGGCATCCTTCCAAGGTTGACATAGTAGTTTTAATCTTTCATCGTTCACTTCCATTTTTAGGAGGGTGCCCATCACTTTCCTCTGTTCTTCTGTCATATCCGGGGCAGTGGTTTCCTCCTCATGGAGCCATTCTTTCATGAGGTCATCAAAATCTTGGTCATCTACCATGTTAGCATCATTGCCCATAAGCTTGGCTTTGTATGAAATCTGAGTCTTCACTATTGCCCGCAAAACATTCTGAGATTGGTTCCCACTCTGTTCTGTGTTTTTAAGTGTTTCTTGGCCTGTGATGTTCTCTGGTTCTTGTGCTTTTGGTTCAGATTCTTTCATTACCACATCCTCATTGATCTTTCGTGTGTGTCGTTTTAGAAGGTCATCTTTTTCAGTTGAAATGCTTCTTTCATCGGCGGACGGCATCCCTACCCCGGTCAGTTGAATGGTGTGAACACCCCCTCTTTCTCTACCGCTCTCACTCTCTCTCTCATCATGTCTCAGTTTTAAGGTTTCACTCAAAATAATTAAATACAATTTTTTTGAAATTATTAAATTATTCTGAAGTCCAATAAACATCATTAGAAGAGATTTATTTATCTAATTACCAAATTACTTTTTTTTTTCTTTTTTGAAGTATGTGTTGACAAATGAAAGAATAATTTTTAACAATTTAAAGTGTAATAATTAATAATTATCGTGACAGTTATTAACAACTCATGTATTACATTTTTGCAATGCGTCGAGAAAATGTGCTGTTAATACAAGTTACAATAGTTATTAATCGTTACACCTTAAATTGTTAATGACTGTTCTTTTAGTTGTCAATACATACTTAAAAGAAATAAAGACAATTTGATAATTAAACAAATAAGATTTTTTACAACGAGGTCTTTTAAAATTTCAGAATAATTTGATGATTTTCAAAACTTTTTTATATTTAATTATTTTGGGTGAGATTTTATTATAATTTTTTTTATTTTTCTTTGGTTCCGGACAGAGATCGCTTTGACAACAAAACCGTGATGACAATTTCAAAGAAGGAGAATTACAATTGTGTGTCACTGACTCCAGTCCCAGTGGCACCAAGGGGTCACCCGGTCATGTCAACTCTGATCCCACATCAGACACAACAAAATTGGTCAGAAACGTCATTCATGCAATTATTATATCACATGAGCACCAACAAGACGGTCGTCAAAATATATCTTAATTTGGGATCATCATGCGACAGCCAGAATTTTGATTTTTTTACAATGTAAACGCGCCTTTAATTGCAATCCATGCGTGTTCCCGCTTGACCAAATTAATGCCCATTTCCATTTGGTGCCAGGAACGGGAGGTGCAACTGGAAATATTTGCACCATTCAGTTGGATAAATTTACTGTCCTGGCTAGATGACCCAATTCTGTCAAGGTGTAAGTCAGCTCCTTCTCATCCCACACCCTGAGGACGAGTGGTGATGAAGGTTGTCGCTATTTGTCTCCAAATCCGTCGCAATCAACTTCAGCAGGCAATGGATTGATGGTGGGGTTAGAGCTTCGATCAATTTCAAATTTGAGAACCCTAACAACAATATCTACAATTCTAAGCAGGCACTGCCATCTTCGTCAGCTTAATTTGGCATCATGGATTTCAAATCTGAGAGCAACAAAGCAAGCAAGGTTGAAATGGTGGATTCCAGAGCAGCAACAATGAGCGAGTGGATTGGATTTTTGGTTCGCGAATTTTGCCTTACATGTTTGTTGAATGCTCTGCTGATTGTTGTGTTTTGGGTTCTCTAGGCCTTGATTTTTTGCCATATTAACATATACTCATCTTATTATTAATATAAGATCTATTTAACTAATTTAATTAAATTAAGAAAGTTAGGTATGTTAGTTAATTATAAGAAATATGACATATTTTTTCACAAAAAAAAAGACATGTTTTTTTTAAAAACATTATCATAATCTTCTTTAATATTCTTTCTACCTCTTTTACTTGACTATGGTTGACGAAGTGTCAATAAGAATAATTTAAGAAAATTTGATAAATATAAAAAATAAGTCTCACGTTTAAGACCAAAATTAACTTAACAATTAAGTCTTATGTTAGATAGCGAAAAGTAACTTTTATCACGCTCATATGAAACATACTTTTAAGTCACACTTTCACGACTATTTCCTTCAAATACTCTTTCCTTCTCGTGGCATAAATGCATATGATGGCTTAATTAACTGGATTATTTGAAAGAGAGAATTTTGGTAGCAATATAGCCCCATGAGTCATGAGGGACCAAGAAAGGCCGCAGAAGTGGGACCATTGTAATGCTAATGCTGAGATTCCCCCAAGGAAGAAGCCAAGCTTTTAGAGCTGGGCGGATGGGATGGGTGGATGTGATTTGTTTGGCACCAACACGACTGCCTAAAAATTCTTCAGTCCACACAGAGGGCGCCTTGGCCCAGCCCCTTTAGAACTTGACATACAAACGCATATGCCGGATATTTTGGGGCAATGTAAAACAACTACTTAATCCTTACTCGTCTTACGTGCATGTTAATTAGCGTAGCGACTATCTTCTTCTTCTTCTCAAAAGTAGACTATCTGGCGCTGCATCAATGAATCAGTCCAAATTCCAAAGCTCAACTTCTGTCATTTTAATAAGGCGTGCTCACTTTGGTGCCTTGGTTCATCCATTAATTTTGGAAATTTTGTAGTGCTATCTTTTTTCTTTTCTTCTTCTTTTTGTGATTCTGAAATCCACTGCTATGTATGTATTGTAATAATTACACTATACATATATTATTGGAACAATTAAGCCAGCCAACCTTAATGTAATTAAAACAATGGAGGGAATATGAATGGTTAAGAGGCAGGGGGATAAAAGGGAGGAGCGTTGTGCTTGTGGAGAGAAGCTTCAGGCCCTTTACACAGTACACTCTGTCGCTCATATGTGTTGGCATGTGATGCAGATAAAGAGGACGATTCTGGTGACGCATGCACCCTTCTCTATATCTCATACCCCATAAAAAGAAAAAGAGTTTTGATTTGACGGCAGGTTTGTAATTAATGTTATTTCCAGCATGGGCAGACCCACTACACACTAACACTTGATTATACTCGTTGATAAAGTCTTGCATATTTGTAGGTACGTAGGCATCATGTTCGGGATAGACCATCGTCACCTCGACTATAAGTAAACTGGAGTATACTAATGTTCTTTTTGAAAGAAAATATGAACGGAAGCATAAAACTAAAATATATCTAATTGAGTCCCGCGCCTATTGATTCTTCTTTCCAACAAAGCATGCTGGTTTGATTTCTTAACATCAGGTATGGGATCTCGATTGGTTAGGATTAATTTTGCCATGCATGTGTTGCTCAACAGAATAGACTTTTCATTCAAAAGTTAGGCGCGTGCTTGAGCCTGAAGACAATAAGTAAATTTAACATCACGTGTAAAAATATTAATGATAGAGAATAGCGGTGGAAGACTCATGAATTGACATGCGAATACACCCTTAATCTATCTATCTCCTTCAGTTAGTGGTGAAGCAGTGATGTAAGCGGTTGTTTATGGCAAACATGATGACAGGGATCCAGTAATAATTGTCAGAATGAGGCGAGGGATGAATAATTGAATGCAAAATGGCGGTAGTGATTAGTATATAATAATTTGTTAATTAAAGGAAAGGAAGCACAGCATGATTGCGGGACTTCTTCGTCCGCACAGTTGCAGGCACATCAAAGTCACATCCGCTCTGCGTCTCTGTGCAGGACACATAACTGCGCTCTTTCCATGCCATCTTTTTCGGAATCAGATCAAGTCAGCTCAAAGCCTCATCCGGCTCTTGGCCCCCACTCCCCAACAACAAAAGCCCTGGGGTTCGGCATAGTCATTAAACGACGGAGAATATATAAGAAATACTAATAACTGCATGCCAGTTGTTAATTAGTCCACATAAACGTATGATATACGTACGTAGATTGCAACATTTCCTTTTGTTTTTGGGTATCTGAAGAAGTTGAAACCCTAGCTAGTTATTAATTAGCAGCGGGCGGGGTCAAGGGTCAATTCCCGTGCAGAGGACGCAAGCATCATTTCCACTGCTAGCTGTTTAAGTTGTCTTTGTATTTTCCATCTCCGGAAGGACGCAGTATGACTCCGCGAGTGAGGTTTTAAGATTTTTCTGTTAAGTTTTGTACTTTTGATTACGATGTATTACTGTGCCGCGGCCATCACACTAAAACTTTCTTAAGCCGCCAACCAATCTCCCCATTCATCTCAGTCATCCTCTATTCTCTATATATACTTCTCCTTCTCCTTCATTCTCCCCCCACTCTTCCTTCTTTTGCTTTTCCTCACTCCCCCCCCCCCCCACACCACTCTTTGCTCTCAATTATACACTTAATACTATACTTTGAGTCTCTCTGTTTTCCCCCTTTTGCCTGTCTCGTTGGCCCAGCTATACGTATTCTTATGATTCATCTTTTTGATTCTTTGTTTTTTCTGCCTCCTGCCACTCCAATAGCCCTTTGATATTATGCATAACATACATGAGACTGAGGGTTTAGGGCTTGTTGTTCCCCCTTTTGCTGCTTGTGCACGGTGGGTGAAGAAGACGGGAGAGCAATTAAGCACGCAGTCATTATTTGCTGGTGGAGCATCATCAAGATTCACAAACAGCAACATTAGTTAATGATGCAAGCGTGCGTGTGGGAATCTTGATGATGCTGCAGCGGCAATGGATGGCTAATATTACATGCATTCGGAGATCAGGTGAACCCGTGATCGTGATCATGTCTCAATTTATTAAAGACCAATTAGATTAGTTATAGAATGTAGTGCTTGAGCGATGATGGAGTTGGGGTCCTTTCACTTCCTTTCTGGCATTTGTACTGCAAAGCTAAGCTCAGCAGGTATGTCCCTGTACCTTGAAATCATATTTCGATGCTTTTACTTTGGGGTCTAATTGTTTTGTCCTGCATCCTGTAATTTCAATGCCTTTCACATTTACATGGAATTGATCTAATTTTGAAATCGATCATCTTCTAACTGACCCATGTCATGACTTCTCAAACCTCAACCAAATCTATCGAATGCATTACCTGTATTGGCTCAACAATGATACAATAACTTCATTTACCCCCAAATTATTTTTTAGCTTGTACTTGCCTTTGTCTCTGTCCCACGTTTAAACATTCAAAGACTCATGGCTCTACTAACCAACGCAGATGTCTGGATATCATTCAAGCTAATTAAGTTTCAATCTCGACACAAAATTCATTAACTTTCATCAAAATGCATATATACCTACGATATCGATCAGTAATGAATAAAATGACACATGACATGAATGTGCGTGCGTGTGTATATACATGCATGCATGCATACATATATATAGATACACACACACCAATGTCAATATATGCATGCAACCGGGGGGGGCCTAAAAATATCCTTTCAGATTTTAATTTCCCCATTTTAAACTGCATATTTCTCAAGTACCGAGAATGCGGGTATCAATTAACTAGTGTTTGTCGATCTGTTCTGTGATGAGAGGGACGTGTGTGTGGAACATCATATATTTGAAATCATGTATATGTCGTTTGCTCTAATTAATCTTTCTTATTGATGATGCTGTATGGAGAATCATTACGTCTTTCATACGGTAATTCAATTTCATCACACACGCTTGTGCAGGAACATGTGAGAGTGGTATAGCTATTATTAATAGGGATAAAGTTCATTTTTGCTTTGAAAATTTTCACAAAAGAGCACTGATTGTCAGGGATTTTTTTTTGGGAGCAATGTTACTTCGAAAGTTGTAAAATCAGAGCAACGTCACCCTACATTAACAGATCCTAATAGTCAAATGTTTAGTTGACCAGTTATACTGAGGTGGCTCTGCCACCTAACGTGTTTCGACGCTTTTCCTCTGAGGAAGTTGGAGGTTCCTTTCTCGATAAGTCGAAGGTCAACAATCGCATAATCTCTCTCATCAAAAACTTCCCACCGATACACAGAACGAAGAATGCCGAGTTGTCAAGTGAACTGGAATGAATCTGATGGGTAATGGGATCAATTCCTTTTATCAAGAAAATTACAAGCATCAAATGAAAAGCTAAAATACAGAGTCATATCAGATTGATCTTGCAAATCTTCAATGTGTGTGAAGGATCAACTAGCTGTATTTGTAATAAAAAAAACAATGCTCTCTCGTTTAGGGATTTGAAGTTTTGCTTTGGTATTTTTAAAAATTGCTACGGAGCATGAATTTAAGATAAGAGAAACAGAGGGGCCCAATGAAGGAATAAGCTAAGAGGATGAGAGAGATGACCATAGGGAGCGACGCCGACAAGAGAACCAGAGGGAGTGAGCTGAGCGATCAAAATGGAAGACTAGAGGCCCTAGGGTGAGGGATCGATGCTGCCGTTGCTAGAGTACTGGGGCTTCAGCTTATGAGAGTTTGGCACTTTGTGTGCAAGACTAACCAGAGCGCGTAATCTCACGCTTTGCGCCTTTCCATTTGAAGATGAAAGGGTGGTGGATGCTGCTAGGAGCCGCAGAGATGAACCTGAGGAGGTATCACTTCCTTTTCAAATAAATAAATAAATAAATAAAACTCAAGTTACACATTTGACTTGAAAAAAGAAAGTGAGGTGGATGCCATGTAATTGTCAGTGTTGCATTTTGAAGTGACATCTTGTCACTTAAAATGTTAGGTTTTCAGGGTGACATTATTATGATTTTACAATTTCTGCGACGACATTGTTTCAAAAAAAGCTTTCTGGTAGTCATTGTTTTTTCTGAAAATTTTTGAGGTAAAAATGACATTTATCTCTAATTAATGTTGTACTGCATCCACGCACTGGGGACCGCCCTTTCTTTAAGCAAAATCGAATGTTATTTATTTTTATTCATTTTTTTAAAATCATAAAAAAAATTCAAAACTGCACTATTTTTTGCTTACGAGATGTCAAAATGCCACGCATTTTATGCAGAATCTAATGACAAAAAGAAAAAAGGAAAAAAAAAAACATTTGAGAGGTTAAAGCATTTTAAAAAACATTAGAGAGCGGGGGTATTAGAGGCCCCTTGCCAATTTGAGGGTGCGCCTTGTGAGAAGAAGAGATTTGTATCGTTGGGTCAAGGAGGAAGATTAGAATGGCAAAGGTTAGTTGCCATTATTCAATTTTTTGTTCATCCTTTTCGTCTCTCTTGTGCGAATTTTCGCACACTTTGATTTGGTTCTGTATTTCTTTTTTGTCAACAGAATTTCGATTTGGGTGAATAGAGTTCTGTTTTTATTCGCCGCTTGGAGTTTTTCTTTTAATACATTGTATGTTGAATACACTTACAGCAGATGCCATAAGTTCGTTATGGCATCTATTAAATATAAACAAAAGCCAAAACATGATTAAATTAGCTATTGCTTCTGTTCTACTAATAACGGAAGCGAAATTGAGTAGTTATATTAGTGTTTTAATTTGTACTAGTGATGGTTTCAAGCAGAATTCTGTCGTCACACAGTATTATGTCTGCTTAACCCAAACTAATATAATAAATTGAACTCTAGATACATGTAAGTGAATAGAAGACCCAATAAAGATTGAAGATATAAGTGATCTATGTTTTGAATTTCATCCGTTTAAGTCAGCATCCCACTTTCTAACAGTTGAGTTTTGGAGGATAATGTATGTCGTCCTTGCATGTGAAGAAACACAAGCTTCTTTCTTTTTAGATCTAGATGATTGATAATAAAGCACCTAGCTAGAAAATACTTCTACCTGTCAAAACAAATTAGTTTTTAGTTGTGACTAGAAATTGAGATAAAGTATTCTCAATATAAAGTCAAATCTTTGACTACAAATACTCTTGCGCATGTGGTTTTGATGGGAAAATTTTTTTTTGTGTCACTACAAGTATTGCAATTCTTTCACAACTTATGAATATGAGATTCTGAGTTGACCGTAAGCAAAAGAGTGAAAAAATAAAATAATAACTCATTCAGATAATTTAATATGAATATGCATGTAAATCTATTTTGCTAGTAGATTGTTTAAAAAAAAAAAAATCCATGATTTCACATCAAGTTAAAAAATATTGTATGTGGGCCAAAAAATCAATATCATAAAAGTAGAGCCATGAAATGTAAATGATATAAATTTATTTTATATAAATTTTTTTAATGTGGTGGGGCCCATGATGTGTGCCTGGTCGTTTTCTACTAGTCAGAATACAAATGAGGTGGATGCAAGAATTTCTCAGGGAAAAGGTAATTGACCGTTGGAATGTGGGGGTTTAAAAATATGATAATATAAAATAGGAACCCAATAAAGAATGATCGCTCTCTCTCATGACGCTCCTGCGACCTCAATTTTATAAACCTCAAAATACGACCGTTGGGAGTCTTCCTTTTCAGCTACACTCCTGTGAGACTCCTCCCCCGTCTTCTTCCTCTTCACCTACCTCCCTGTCCGCTCAAAGAATTCCAAGAAATGGAGTCGTCTCCGTCCGGGAAATCGTCCGGACTCAATCTTCCCGCCGGCATGTCGGGGAGCTCGCTGCGCCTCGACACCTTTTCGGGTTGTTTGCGGGCCAATCCCAATTTGTCATCGCCATCCAAATCCTCCTCCTCGTGCAGCGATAGATTCATACCTTGCAGATCTTCTTCGAGGCTCCACACCTTCGGGCTGGTGGAGAAGCCTTCCCCAGTGAAAGATGGGGCAAACGAGGCTTATACCAGGTTGTTGAAATCTGAGCTCTTTGGGTCTGACTTCGGTTCTCCTTCCCCTGCAGGTCAAGCTTCCCCCATGAGTCCCAGCAAGAATATGCTCCGCTTCAAGACTGACCATTCCGGTCCCAGCTCCCCCTTCTCGCCCTCTGTTTTAGGCCACGATTCTGTATTCTCTTCCGAGTCTTCAACCCCGCCCAAGCCTCCTCGCAAGGTCCCCAAAACACCCCACAAGGTCCATTCTTTCTTTCTTGGCTCCCAGTTCCATTTAGCTGACACCAAATCAGACGAAGCATGTTATTCTATATAGGATGTTTCATTGCTGAAGCCCATCAAAATTGCAGGTTTTGGATGCACCGTCACTTCAAGATGACTTTTACCTGAATTTAGTCGATTGGTCCTCACAAAATGTTCTTGCCGTGGGACTGGGCACTTGTGTGTACCTCTGGAGTGCTTCCAACAGCAAAGTAAGTCTGAAACTGCCACCTACTGCTCGTGTTTGAATAGTCATATACACCGTTCACGTTTGGTTATTTCGTGCTGTTTTCAGGTGACAAAGTTATGTGACTTGGGACCTCATGATGGGGTGTGTTCTGTCCAGTGGACCCGGGAAGGCTCCTACATTTCCATTGGCACAAACCTGGGTCAAGTTCAGGTAGCTGCTCACAGTGTTTACATTACATGAGGTAGAGGGATGTTTGGCTTCGTGCACTTATACTATAACTAATTTTTTTACATTGTGTGACAGATATGGGATGGAACTCAGTGCAAGAGGGTTAGAGCAATGGGAGGGCATCAGACAAGAACGGGGGTGCTGTCATGGAATTCACGCATGTTAGCTTCAGGAAGCAGGGACAGGAACATACTGCAGCATGATATGAGAGTCTCAAATGACTTCGTGAGCAGGCTGGTGGGGCACAAGTCGGAGGTAAGAGGACAATGACAATAGAGGAACATGGGATATTAGTGGGGAGTTAGCAGTAAAGAAATGGCTTAATTTGACAGGTGTGTGGATTAAAGTGGTCGCACGACGACAGGGAGCTGGCGTCGGGCGGAAATGATAATCAGCTGCTGGTATGGAATCAACACTCGCAGCAGCCGGCACTGAGACTCACAGAGCACACAGCTGCGGTGAAGGCCATTGCGTGGTCGCCTCACCAGGGGGGCCTCCTGGCGTCTGGTGGTGGAACTGCAGATCGCTGCATTCGCTTCTGGAACACTACAAACGGCCACCAGTTGAACTGCGTTGACACCGGCAGCCAGGTTCGGTTGCTTCTTTTCCCCCCACTCAACTCTCACACGCACACGTCTCGTATTTCCAAATTCCAACAACACGAATTTTCAGGTATGCAATCTTGCTTGGAGTAAGAATGTGAACGAGCTAGTGAGTACTCATGGCTACTCCCAGAATCAGATTATGGTGTGGAAATATCCATCAATGGCCAAGGTAAGGCAGATCAGTTCGTTCATCAGAACGAAATTTCCGAATGCTAAACAAACAAGCCTTACGAATCAATCATGTCAGGTTGCCACACTGACGGGCCACACCATGCGAGTGCTGTACCTAGCCATGTCCCCCGATGGTCAGACCATAGTGACTGGTGCAGGGGATGAAACTCTTCGGTTTTGGAATGTTTTCCCCTCCATGAAATCGCCTGTAAGAGTTTAGTTTCACCAATTCAGTTACTCTCCCAATTCACTCATGCATCGTGCTCGTTCACATTTTGTGTTGCTTGTTCACACTTCTCAGGCACCGGTCAAGGATTCAGGCATGTGGTCACTCGGACGTACCCATATTCGATGATACATACGAGGAAAAGATGGCATTTTAAATTATTGGTAATTAACTACTACTTGTAAATGGATGCTGTTTTCGTTTTTTGGGGTCAAACACCGAACACGGATGATGTATAGCGTAAATCCCATATTATTAGGTAGCCATTCATTAAATCAACTTATGAATTTCCGACATTGAAGGAAAAGGTTGTTCAAGACTAGTCAGCTGAATTTTATGCTACATGTACTTATCAGGATTTTGTAAATTTTATGCTATAAGAATGCAAGAAAAAGACTATAACGTCTTGAATATAGTACAGTTTATCTTCAAATTTTTAAAGCTAGTAGCTAACTTTTCCACGTTGCAAATTTTATCCCCAACGACTGCAATAGCAAAGATAAAATTCCTGGTTGTGACCCAAAGCTCTTTAGGTACTATATGGGATATCGGTATGGTATTCTCCAATCTTACTTTCATGTGTTTACTAAGGACTTTTTTAAATATTTTTTTCAATGAAAGATGAGGATTAAGATTGAGATTAAAAAAATATATTACAAGAATGTTTAGCATAAAAGATTGCTTATTACATGCAATTAAAAAAAATTCATGCATGTTGAATTGAGAAATACTGTAAGAGAAAGTGGTATTTTCAAATTCTACCTTTATAGGTTTGTCTAATATTATGTAACAAACAATAATCTCATTTAACAAACAATTACTCATGTTAAAAACTTTTTTAATGATTTTTTTCAATTACAAACATAATTTGAGATAATAGATTCCCTATCCCTCATTTTCACTACTTCGTACCAAAAAAGAACTTTAGAGTCCCTAGCGAGTGATAAAAAGTGATAAAAATAATTTGAGATAATAGATTCTTGAGTGGGGGAAATTCGGATACCCTCTGAGAATCTGACTTTTAAATAAATGGATGATGCTTAAAAGGAATAAAAGCCATTTAGATTATTTAAAGTATTATACCGTGTAAACGAATGATGCCTCTGTCGAGTACTGAACACAGATATTGCAAGATATGATTTGCGAAGCCTTAGTCTAAGCTATTAACCACCCAAGCAATTATAGTAATTCCAATTCCAATACTTACGTTGACCCAACCAAAAAAGAAATTCTAATACTAGTCTTCCTCCTTATGACAGTTCTAAATTTCTAATGCCCCAAGTGTAAGATACTAAGTAACATGCCGGCACTGTAACATCAAAATCGGACTAGTGCAAGCATTACTTACAGATGCCCATTGCACTGCACAACGAATTTTAAGTTGAGGGGCTCCCACTTCAAAGTTGTTGGGATTGCATATTCCGCTCATGATGTTCATCTATAGTTAAGCTTTGGGTTTTAAACCTTGACATATCAAATAAATCTCTCTTGATGAAGGTCTTGTAGCTTTAGGCCTCAACCATGATGACTTTCTAAAAAGTGGTTTTGAAATCTGGCTAATATCTGCAACATGAATAGCCAAAGAAATTCAATATTCTAAATTTATAATTCAATTAAATCAACTTAAGCAAACCAACTTTCTGTCATTATTAATTGATTTATTATGAAATAAAACCCACCCTTTACATCTTCACTCTCCAAAAGCTTTATGACAAGATGCCCTTCAATCTGCAACACACCATTATCATCTGAAATGGATGAACTGTCACTTTGCTCCTCCGGAGTAACGTAATCAGAATGAACAGGTGCAGCTCTGCCAACAGCCAAGCCCAATGCTCGCATGCCTAGCTCAGCAGACAGAGCAGCATCTTTAGTTGTGATCCCAGAAACTAGTGGACACATGTCTGAAAGTATTACAGCAAATCCTTTTTGCTGTAGAAGAGAGGCAGTTCAAAAATTAATCGCAACACACTTTGACGGACAGATAAAAATGGTTTGCCTTTAGATATCTTGAAAGGTTAGCCCAGATAAAACATAGTATGCATGCATGGATATTCAAGTCTGAACAATGAATGCAACGAGCCACCAAAAGTATTATGTCCGACTCTTGTTAAGCAGCAGGTTCATTTTGACGAAGGTGTTAACTCAGGCATGCCATCTTCTGCAAGGGGTTTGTGGTAAACCTTTTCCTTCATGAACATTTACTTCTCCATTTCATCATCATGCTAAATGGGCAAAGATTATAAATGGATTTTATCTCACATTAATTAAAACTACTTAATTCGTGGTCTTAAAGGTAGCTGTAACCCTATACAACTGTGTCTTGCAATCCTGACAATTATATACAACTGTTACATCCCTCGGCTGGTGGACAATGTTTTCCATTCAGGAAGTGCTTTCAAACTGATGAACAAAAAGCTAAGATTAATATACACCTGACTGAGTTAGAACAATACGAGGCATCTACCTGAGCATAATGTTGCTAGAGACGTAACAAGATGATGAAAACAGCAGTTAACACGTGAAAACAGAATACAAGAGGAACATGGGGAGGACTCATTACCGTGCAAAATACTTAGGGATGCCACTGGTAATAGCTTGCAGATTCAGATTTAATTCCCGAAGTTTTTACTACCACACTTAATTGACAGAGGCCTAACAGCAGATTATCCCATATCAAAAATTACATAAGATGTTCACAAGTACCTGTGGAGACAGGGCTCTAACTCGGTACTTTGGGAGGCTCATGACATCAGCACAGATAGTTTTAACCCTTGAATCACAATGGAGAGGAGGAACCTTGACCTTCTGTTCTGCACATTGCACATTTCATAAATTAATCTTCTTTATCTTTTAGCATGCTGAAAAAAGAGACACAAATAAGGACTACCAAAAGAGAGACGTAGAGAGGCTATCGTAGAAGCAAATAATACATTAAAAATGACACCTTGAGGTCAATGCCCACAACCGAGCCTCCGTTTTTAAGAGGACCCAAGCTCTGGCAAGCCACCTGCGGAAAGAGGGAAAAACAAAATACAATCCTGAAGCCCACAATTTAACCGGTGGGGGAAAAAGCAGAAGCCCACAAAACTCTTTCGAGACATATACCTGTAGCCAAGCGCCGGGAGCACAGCCGAGGTCCAAAACCGATGAACCGGGTTTTATCAGCTTATAGTGCTTCTGTATTTGAAGCAACTTTTGTTGTCGATGAAAATGAAATACCTGGGAAGTTAGCAGTCTGCAATAATAGAGATGAAAATAACAAAAAAAAGAAGAAGGGAGAAGCTGAAGGCAAAAGATTACCTTGAAGGCAGATCGAGCGACATATCCTAGTCTTTGAGCTTCCCGATAGAAAAAATCGGGAGCTCCGGCTCCGCGCATGTCTCCCAGACTTCCCTTTTTCTACTCGCGATCTTCTCAGGGTTTAAGCGATATGGACGCTTGAGCGTACAGGCGTCTAGCGTCCTGCGAAAATGGCAAACAGGAGTTTAATGGCAGTTTGAGTGGTTTAAAAAGTTTGAAGGAAAAAATATATAGAAAATCTCACATCAACATTTATAATAAAATTATGTAAAATTAAACATTATTAAGATATTTTCAAATAATAAAAGTATCTTTAAAATATATTTATATGTTTTATGTTTTAAAATCAAATGGCCTTGTGAAGTGTTTGAATAGAAGAAATTATGGTTTTCAAAATCATTTTACGGTGTGCGAAGTACTCTTTTGGTCTTATTTATAAGATAGAGAAAGAAAATATTTTTTGATCTTATTTATAAGATAATGAGAAAATTTTTTATATAGATGTATAATTTTACTCTTTATTTATTATTGTATTAATTTTGTTTATATAAGGTATAACGTATATTAAATAGTGATAAAATTAAAAAGTTATTAAATTTTAAATGAGAGTTAATGAAATTTAAGATTTTTCCTAATCTGTGTGAAACAAGAGTCCCAGACATGTAATTGCTCAAGGCATAATTTTACCACCTTATGCGGAAATCGTTGATAATGCACAATATATAGCTAATGTAACAGAACCTATCAATTTGTGTATAACTATTCTAATAGAACCTATCAATTTGTATATTGGATTACAAATCGAGAGGAATTGTGGATATCGTATAAAAATACTAAATACCTTTCAAGATAGAAGTTATCCCATAGATGATGTTAAAAGTGACTTATAAATAGGACTAAAAAAATAGATATATAGAAAAAAAATTTGTTTTCATTTACGTGAAAATATTTTTTTAAAATGCCTTTTGAGTTATCAAACACCTCTTATACGTATAAAAATATCACTTGATGAGGTTGGGTGGAATAAAGAGATGACATGATGAAGAAGAATTTTTTTCACAAATTTTGTTTATATTTTAAAAAGAAAAAATGGGGGAAAACTTCAATCCTTTTATATTTTCTTTTCATATTATTCTTCTTAGACTTTTTCTTCCACTAAACATGGGGTAAAAGAAGACTGTTTGGGATGATATGAAATTGAAAACTAAATAAATGCGATTTCGTGATCCAGTGGCATAAGTGGTAAGTTGTAGATTTGCTACTAGTAACTAAGTTTCCGTTTCTTTGAGCAAAAAAAAAAAAAAAAGACATGCCATTTCTGTTTGATGAATCTGAATGATGTCCGGAAAAGAGAAGCAAAATTATTTGGGAGACTTTGCTCAAAAACAAATTATTTGAGAGACTAATAATGGCCTAAAACATCGAAAAATGGATTCATAAACCCAATCTAGATTGTGAAGAATATAACATCATCATAATCTCGATCTAGAAGAACATAAATGGATCGGAGCCCATGAAAGTTAAAATCGATCCACGGCATGAAAATGGCCCTTAAGTTGTTAATGCCAGGGACGGCGACAGAGAAAGGAGGGAGAAATGAGATCTTGCGGGAGGATGCGCAGCGGAACAGGACTTCACAGTGAATAGTTAAATAAAACTTGTTAATGGTAACTAATTTGCGTTATATAACTAATTTGCGTTAATGATTTATAATAAATAGGTATTGTTTTTTTTTAAATATTCTTATTAATTATGGGAATTGAAACAATTCATAATTAAAGTCTAATGATTTTCGAATCAAACCGTGTGCATAGAAAAGACTTTGTAAGAGAGGTAAAATCTGCTTTCGTGACCTCTACGTCTCAAAAAGATTATTTTCTAGTTATCAATTGGGGGATTCTGCCTGGTTTCTTTTTTTTTAAAAAAAGTCTACTGATTAACTTATACTATTCTGGTTTTTAATATAAGAGCTAATTGACTAATTTGAGTAGATTAAGAAAATTAGTTAAGTTAGTTATTTGTAATAAATAGGTGTTATTTTTCATAAAATATCATTGCTAATCAAGTGTATAGGCTAGAACTACCATTATTATAAGGACTATTTTAGAAAAAAATGGATAAATATGAGAGACAAAGTGGATTAGAGTCTTATACTAATTAGGACCCCAAATAAAAGTCAAATGATCTTTATATTAAGGACCGGAGGTAGTATATTATTTCGTATTATAGTGTCAAAATGTTGAGTGGCTCAATAGCCACATTTTGGCAGCCAACAAGTTGCCGGCAGACCGAGATTGGTAAAAAAATAGGAAAGACATGAAGAAGGGCCTGTTTGGAATAATTTATAAATAATTTTTTAATCATGATTTATAAAATACGAGATAAATATGTAAAAAGAGTTTTATTTTAATTTAAGTGAAATATACTTATAAATAATTCTAAACCTGATTTCCAACAGAGCTGAAGACAATTGCCATCTGCCCAAATGTGAGAAGCTTGCTTGGTATGTGTGGCGGCTTCATGCGGATGGCATGATAAAGAACTCTCTTCATCATTGCCAAAATGGGGTGGAGTTCGCAGTCTTTATCTCAGAAAAGAAAATTATATCTAGTAACATGAAAATAGTGGTAGTATATTGGGTCCGTTTGGAACAGCTTATAAGTAGATTTTTAATAGTGATTTACGAAATACAAGGCAAGCATATGAAAGGAGTTTTGTTTCGATTTACGTGAAACGTGTTTATAGGGGATTTTCACTGCTATCCCAAACAGGCACTGTATTGTGGTTTTTGTCCCCTTTGCATCGTCAATTTGTGAAATCCCAAGGCAAAAGGAAACGTTGTCATGCGGAAAATGAGCATTTGACGCGAAACAATAACTTCCGTGAACACAACATATTTGCAATTTTATCCTGTCATTTTCTTATGACATCTCCACATACTTCCCAGAATCGAATAAAGAATCAAAGAGCATATAAAACTCTCGAGTTAAACTTGTCTTATATTAACCCATTTACAAAATGCTAGCATGCATGCAAATAAAAGGCCAGCAATGAATTTGGCGCCATGAGAATATTACAAAAACTTGAATTCAAATGTACAAGTTTCGCCTCTCTGTGTTCCTATCAACGTGAGATTACCTTTTATGTCGTCTCAAGTGGTTGGATACCCGTGCTGTCTTCAGCTTTGTGTGTTTCAACTGAGGCGTCTGTGCTCTTCATAGTTGCAAGTTGATGCTTGCCCTGCTATTAGGACCAGAATGCATGGGCAGCCAACACACTATCTAAAAGTTGTTAGGGCATTGGCTCTCCCCTCCTTTGTTGTGGGAAGATTCTCGCAATGTGCACTAATGTTTTCCACTTATCCTTCCAACACCAAGAACAGAAAGCATCGTTAATCAAACTAGGCCAGCTAAAAAAAGTCAGACACACTATAATAACAAAACCTACATTATTTGACCCATTTAACCTGTTTTAATTTTTTCCCCCTCTCATGCTACTTTTTAAAATTAAGGCCAAAAATCACATAATACACTGGCAAATATGTGAGATAAACAGGTGGCCCGTTTCGATGTATGGGTAAAAACTCCTTCAGTTAAGTAAAAATCGCCTCTGCACTATGACAAATGAGAATAAAAATGTACCTTCAAGTCTACATGAGTCCTATGGTCTGCATTCTCAAAAGCACGCAACTTCACATCACGCCACCTACTAGGTATAAACAACGTAAGTAATCAAATTTTCCCACAAATCCAATCATAGGTCACAAGGTTATAATAGCATCTGACCTTCCAGTTCCTAGTTTCTCAACTGCCTGAACTAGTGCTTCTACCTTAGAGACAGAGAATGGCCTCCTAGTTCAACGCTGGACAAGCTCAGAACGCTGGGTTTTTGGACTCAAAGGAACCACAGCTAGTGGCTCTGTGCTCCTAGCTAGAATGGGAACCAAGGCTAATGAAGCTGGTGTTACTCTGTCAACTACAATGTTAGTGGGGGAAGAACTTAACTCTTGGTCAATTAGCAAGCAGGCATCACTTCAAGCATCAATAACCCTTGAATCTGAGACACAGGTTATTGATGACCTAGAGATAAATTGATAAATATTAGACATAGCAACAATAAAGATAGCAAACTGAATATTCAACTAAAATGAGAAAAATCATGAAGAAAATTGATGACAGAAACAATCTTTTATTCTTGAGATATTAAAGCTTGATCATCAACATGTTTAGGTCTTCAATATTTAGATAAAACTATGTATGGTAAATGCCAAATCTGCCTCTCCTGATCCCTGGGGATGTTTGACACGAAGAAGAAAGATCACCAACATATACATAAGGAGGAGGCTCTAAAGAATTAGGCTCTAAAATGAAACCAAGGGAATCCAAATTTTCTTTACAAGATATACCAGTATGCACAAGGGTCCTGTTGTCACCTCCAACCTTTTGCCCTTGCAGAAGGATGCCAATGTGCACTCCACCTTCCAATATAGTCATCACTGCCTCCATGATTGCCCTCTATAAAAGTTTGTGAAAAGAGACAAAGTGGAAGTGAGAGCTAAACAAGCAAGTCATTTGCCAATAAGTAGGGCACAAAAATTTTATACTAAGGCCCTATTTTGCTAGACTAGAGGAAAAGGAACCCGTTTCTATCATACAATGATCCAGATGTGAAATATCTATTATATCCTTAAAATCTTGACTTAACAACAACAATTTCCTTTTATTATTAATTTGCATCCAGTAAAACATATGACATTTCACATATAAAATGATCACTTTTTTCTTTTTTCAATTCCATTCACTTTTCCATTCCAAGAACCAAATGGGCCCTAAGAAAATGTTAAACCTGATGAGAAAAGAACATTAGACCTGCAACACCATGTATAAAGCCATCTCTATATACCCAGACCTTTAATGAACCAATGGTTGCGGTCTCCAGAACGTCAATATAAAGCTCTGGTATCCTAAATGACTTAATACTAAATTTCACTGTTCACAGAGTATGCACAACACATAAAACTCAATAGGATGGAAAGAACAATAAAGCAAAACAAATCAATAAACATCAAACAAATAATTACCATGAGAATCCTTAGATGCATGCCACTTTGTAAATGAGCTATGGTTATCACCATCCATTCCTTTTTCAGGTGAATTAGATATGCTCTCACAGCTGAACCCCCCATTAGAAGTTACAACAGGACACTGCTCAAAGAATTTCTTCCTCTTGAGTAGTGTGTTGCATTGATATTTGTCAAAGCTGCAACAGGCCTTTCTCTTAAGATCATGAAGTTTTACTCCTTGATCTACAAATTTCATATTAATTTCCTTGAATAAACAAATATACCATCATATAATATGCATGAAATAATAAAACCGCTGGTAGAAGATAATTTATAGTCCAGATTACCAGATCCAAAAAGCTCACAATCCTTCAACTTTGGAGAAGCTCTCCAATATTTAAAAGCCAGCAACCTGCTGATTCTTTGGTGTACAATCTGTTGTAGAGGCCTATAAGGCTTTGACTTTGTGTCAACTATGTTGCACCTAACAAAGTTTTCATCATCATCTCTAAAATCTAACTTAATATTATTCCCACGTCGAGAAAAAGAAGCATTAGGAGAAGGTGCCCCACAAAATGGAGACTTAACATTAATGTTTGAATCAATTAGAGCAGCAGAATTAATACATAGTTCTAATGGATACTTCAAACTACATTTATTAATTAAAGGTGATCCCTCAATGTCTAAACTAGCAGCTTCTTGTTCTTGTCTGAATCTGTTTACATTACCACCATAAGAACCCCTGAAATCTTGATCGGTTTCTACTAATCTACAGGAATAATGTCCAAATATATTCCCCACTCTGCAAATTTTAGATTCCACATCGGCTTCAACTTTCTCCAAGTAGTTTGAACCATTATAAACTGAAGTCTGTTCTTGTACTACATCATTCTCAATTCGCACAAGACATTTCTTATGAGTGATTTCTGAGGTCACCTCAGTCATATAAATACCCACTGCACAACCTCCTTGATTAATGTCCTTCGTTGGTAATGTTTTAACTTCATTTTGCCTTTCCTGTTCAATGACACCAATGCTAAAAGAAGGATGATGGTTTCCTTTAGTTGCATTGCTAGATGCAGAAGAATTTTCACTCTCCTGTAACAACTTGCCTGCTAACGATGCAAGTAGCTCAAAAGCACAGGCTTGACCATGCCCAGCTGCCTTTGTGACTCCTTTTCTAAACAATAACCAAATAGGTGCAACAATAAAAAAGATCAAAGCACAAAAAAGGGAAAACATCAAACAATGTTCATATCACAGCAAGTCCTTACTCTTACAGATCTAGGAGCTCTAGGTATAAAGGGGACCTGAAAACCATTAAATCCATAATCTAGCCTCTTTTTCCACACCATAGTGCATGCATATAGAGCACATTAAATAACCACAAGCTTCAATACTGCAGATCCTTGTCATTGTCATAAAAATCAAGAAATAAAGGTATTAGGTTTATTCTCATTGTGCTGCTAGTCTATGCATATAACAAAAGCTAAACCACAGGATGGCACCAAGTTGAAGATAACCAGTGAGTCATTTGAACATGCATAACGTCACACAACTAATGTGTTTCTTTATCCCAAACAGATATTTAGTCTGTCTTCCAACTAGAAATATATATAAATCAAAGAATTCTAATTTCACAAAGAAAAAACTAAACGGATTTATTAGGACCTCCAATTTGATTTCCCCTGCTAGATCATCTTAGGATGGAATCAAAAGGAATATTCAGATACAAACACATGGACAACAATTTAGGCGAAATTTAAAAGAGCTCAACAAAAATTCCAATAACTTAGAATGTCAATCTTTTTGGTTACAAGATACAAGAAACTGCCTATGTGAGAGACATAGAGAGTTGATGCCACATCTTAGTAATTATCAAATAGAAACCAGAAATTGACCAAAAAGAGCTTGGGAGCCAGACAGAAGAGATAATTTTATTCAATGTCATCCTAGATTATGATGAAATGACTTAAAACTGCAGGGAAAAGTCCAATTCTATAGTCGTTGACCAGGATTCAAACAACCGTCTGATTGCCATCAAATTCATCATGCCGGGAATGCACTGAAAACACGAACACACTTCAAAAGGCGAGACTATAAAACCAAAGACAAAAGTTCAAGCACAAACGAGAAACAGTCATAGGTTGCATCGTCAGATCAACGACTACGAAAAGTAATTCTGATAGTCCAAAATGCTCTCTAAAAATTTTGAATTCCAGGCCAAATCAAGAATGACCCTTGTTAAACAGAAAATAAATCAACACAATCGAAAACATTCAAATTGAAATGAGCCAAAACCAAAATTATAGCAGCAAATAGAGCATAACTTCTATTGATCGGATCTCATCAAGAGACAAAAAACCAGACTGAACCAGCCGGTTCAACCGGTGAGGGGGTGAATCGGCCAGTGGTTCAGTTCGGTTTTGATATTAAACTGGAAGGGAGTTGAATTGGTATCAAACCGGTCAAATCGTTGTGAATTGGTGAAAACCGATAAAACTCGGTGTGAACTGGTAATATGTCAGTTTGGATGATTATATTGTTATTGGTCTTATTTTTTCTTATTTAGCTCCAAATATCTCAGTCCTTATAGATTTAAATGAATTTTAATGATGATTTTGGTATCAATGATTATTAATTTTAGTTCATAATGAACCATAAAGATCAAAATTTTCAAATTGTTATACTTAGTTATTGTTTCAATCAAACTATTGTTATAATTCCTTATATTTTGTTATTAGTGATTATTAATGTTGTTATATTTTGTTATTTTTAATTAAATTATATTATTTTAATATGATCGTTTGCATCTTAAACCACTACCTCAACCGGTTTAGTGTCTGATTCGATTTTTTGTTTCTTGGATCTCATTCCAATCTCAATCCCATAATTTGTTAAAAAATTCTTCAAACCACAATTTTGTACAAGTAACGATAATTGTATCATTGGCATCGATTGCGAGCCACAATTCAAAGAGAGTCATGCAGAACTAACACAAAAATTTCAGCAAAAACCCGCGAAACCGGGCGAGCGCGGCAAGAATACGCGGGGAAAAAATTGAACAGCAAGGCATACAATAGTGCTGCCTAGACTTACCTCCTGTAAAAATCCATCGGGGAAATGATCCAAAACTGAATGATGATAGAGTAACGGAAATTTGTGGGGGAACCCATTTGCACATGAGAGTAAAAACCTCCAGAAGAAAGAAAAAATTAAAAAAAAGAAGAAAAGCTAAATATGCCAGAAAATGCAAGAGATCTGTCAGAATTTGAAATGTGTGGACAGGTCGCCAAAGTTCCGCTGTTTCTGTTGATGCCTCTGAGTGTCTTTAGGATCTGGCCAGGGAGAGAAGGGGCATAGATAAAAAGAATGGTTAGCCTTTGAAGAACAAAAGCCCACCACAGCATACAAAAAACGCACGACGGTGACCTTAAACCCCGCGTCTATATATGATACAGTTTTAACCGCAGAACCGGAGCAACGAGTGAAAGGGCATAACTGCACTGGCGAGTGGCGATAGGTGGCCTGGACCTATTTTGCTTATAGGCCGCAATGCCCCGCATGGTTCAAGGCTCCATGGTAGGGAATATAATGAAATTGAAATGTAATGCTCCTCCGTGTAACCAACCAAACGGCCCATTATTTGCCAAAGACATTAAGTTAAAATTAGTGATAGTTAAGTTCTTTTTTTTTGGGGGGGGGTTTAAAAATAAGTTGAACATATTAAGTCATATGGACATAAATTTTGATTATAAATTATGTTTAGAACTTAAGTATCTCGCTCATAATGAAAACTTCTGAATTATAGTTATTTAAATCTATATTTGTAACATTTTTTAGAAAAAAATTGATGCGGCCTAATTGTTAGTTAATGCAATTTCCTAGAATTTAGTTATCGTTCCCTTAACGGCTCAACCTCTCCTCACTTGGCCTTTGGTTTTGAGGATCACTTTTGCTGCGCGGCTTCCCCTTCCAAAACTCAGGACCAACAACACAGTTGAACCTTGTATGAGTCACAAAATCATCTGTATGCCTTTGAAGAAACATGGCACATACAGAAGCAAGCACAAATATCTTCCCGTATCGTATTAGAGAAGACTGAACACCCAAGCCCCCCACTATCTTTCTTCCTCTTCACTTCGTTCCTCTGCCCAGCTGATGAAACGAGTGGGGGCATGACACCCATCTGATTTTGAGGGGGAGACGCCGTTGGATAGCAGAGGTTTATTAAAGGAATCAAAAAGGCCTTACATTCTGTGTCAGCTACAACTACGCTGTTACATGATGAGGGTAGTCCTCAGTCCTGACAAGGATGTTAGCTCATGCTTGTAACATATGACCTTCATGAAGCCAAATTCCATTGAATGTGAGCAAATCATGAACGATAATTATCTAGTCATCTAGAGATTTACATATTTGCGGGAAGAAAAGATTAAGAGAAGCAATAGCGCATAACGTCATTTACGCTAACAAAGGTGACAAAATTGCATTGACAATTGCAAGATTAAGAGCACTAGCCTTATACTTTTAGAAAAGAGCATGAGAAGTATTCTCGTGACTGGAATTGAGGACAGAGAAAGTCAAATCGAACAGTAAGATTTGAGAAGCTTTCGGGGGTATCGAAATTTAGGCAAACGGATAAGGGTGGATAGAGATCCGATCAATTTCTCTTTCTTTTATGCTTGCAAGAGTTTAGTTGCTTCACAATGTATTGGATAACTTCTTTCAAACTGGCTCTCCTCCCCTCCTTGCGGTTCCAAATTACGGAGACTGGATATCTTGCGCTTGCATTGTATTGTTGCAGTTCCATTAATGCATTTGCTACAGCATTGTAAACCATCTCCCCATATTCAATCCTTAGTGCTTTCAACTCTTCATCATTTTCATCCACTATTTCCTGCACTCGTTAGAAATTTCAACGTACAATGACTCCACCTTGTTTCATTTAACTTTGTAACAATATATCATTACGAGGGAAACAATTATGTTTAAGATTCTAATCCATGGGCGTCATAGGAAGACAATCAGCAAATTATTACATTCCAATGTTGATTTCTACTTTTTACTTGTCATTCATCAATCGTAATTCCTCTTTTCTCTCACAGATCATGCAACACAGCTGTTGACATGGTGTGAGACTCGGCCATTAAAACCTCACGGTCAGTCAGAACTGCCATTCAGCGATCATCACCCTACGTTTTGAAGACCATACATTTGGTTCTTCCATGTTTACAAGATGGACAACTAATATTTATTGCATTTGCTGAGTCTTCCTCTTTTCAATGAGATCACTCTATCTTAAATTTAGCATAATTTTTTTGGACAAGTTGTGATATCAAAAGATTCTTCGCGCCCCAATCAGTTTGTTAATATGCATGATAGATTTTTAAGATGGGGCGAAACATTATGTTAGTGTATTGTTATACCTGCAACATCCCATTGGCCTCAACTATCTTGTAAGGATGCCAGTTTGCATTCTTCAGATTTTCTTCCCACGATGAGCATAATTGAGCAGATATCTCCTGCCAATTTCCACTTGGGTACTTCTGCATGCACACATCTTGAAAAGGCTTTGTATCTAAAGCTCCCATTCTTTTAATTACAAGTTGAGATCGACTGTGGAACATATCTTGTAAACTCTACATGGCCAAAAAGGGAAGAGGTCACTCGTTTTAACCCTTGCATCAACTATGTGGTCATAAATATGGCTTTTGCATACCTTTATAGATTCTTCACGAGCATCAACTAGTTCTTGCTTATACTGAAACTCTTTTACTATCAAGCTACTATTCATGCTTTCAATATGACCCAGCCTCTCCATCTTGCCTTTTAGTTGTTGCCTGAAAGTATAAAGTTGAGTTGCCAAATCACCATTATTTTCTTCGAGGTCCTGATCTTGTAATTCTCTTCTCAACTGCAACAATAGAAGAGGGAAACAAGGAAGAAAGTTATTTATAAAGATAATAATAAAATAAGAAACATATGTTTAAGCACACACCCATATTGAGCATCATAAATAAATTACATAATCCACGTGACAGGGTAATTCAGACAGAATCTTCACATTATTAATGATTGTATTCAATGGCTACAGTATAGTTGGCATTTAAAAAGTAAAAGGAACTGTGTTTGACAGCTAGAAGATATGAGTAGCCACAGGTTAACAAACCTTATACAGCACAGATCATTTTAGAAAAAAAGTACATCAGAGAGCAAGCAGACAAACTGCTTACAACCCTGGAGCAGCAATATTGAAAAGTGTGTTGTCTTTGAAGACAGTGATAGTGTAAAATTCAGCTTCTTGGAGACCCCCTGAGCTTTTTTTTTTTCCCAGACAAAACTGGCACTCGGTGCTGTCGAAAAGACAGAATTGTTAGAGCCGATGTTCCTTTTCGAAGGGCGGAATCAAAATATAGAACATCACCATAATTTCCTTACGAAACACTACACTAGTTAGAAAATGCATCACGACCATATCCCCAGATTCATATATAATAAAACAACTACATTAAATGGATGAATGAACCAAAGCACACAAGCCTCCAATGAGTCAATCAGATATCTAACTCTTTTAATCTCCTCAATAAAGCTTCTTTGCTGTAAATCATTTAAGGCCTTAGTCTCCTTCAGTTCCTCTGTAAGCCGTTCATGTTCTTTCTTTAGACATTCCATGTCACGGATCATATTAGTATTCCCGACCTTCAACAGTTGGAATTCTGGGAAGGACAAAAATACAAGTCAAACATTATGAAATTTGGATACATGAATGAACTAAGCAAACAAGCCTCCAATGAGTCAATCAGATATCTAACTCTTTTAATCTCCTCAATAAAGCTTCTTTGCTGTAAATCATTTAAGGCCTTAGTCTCCTTCAGTTCCTCTGTAAGCCGTTCATGTTCTTTCTTTAGACATTCCATGTCACGGATCATATTAGTATTCCCGACCTTCAACAGTTGGAATTCTGGGAAGGACAAAAATACAAGTCAAACATTATGAAATTTGGATACATGTAACCTAATGATGACTCATCGTGCAAATGCATGACTGTAGATGGGCTAATGTAGAACGATGACATTTAGATATGTGAATTGCGTTCTGTGCGATGAACAAATGCCTTCTTAACTTAAAGTGGTAGTCATATTAAACGGAAGGCTAGGTTTGGGATTTGGAAGAAGAAAGCACACAACTCTGTACATTTGAGGGCAGATCTTAGGAGTTACGTATTCTGCTTCAAGAAGATGAATGAAAAGCCTTTTCCTCCAGGAAGGATATGGTTTAAATTTTCTTCAATTAATTATTTTGGGATAAAAGTTCCAAGTATTACCATAAGGTAAAATAATAAGCATTATACATTCAAAGGAAAATTCCGTCCCCCATTCAATTCATCAAATAGGAAAGAGCTTTCTGGCCATGAAGTTTATAAGCTAACAGAACTGATCTTAATTTGTAATAAAAAATGTTGCAATACCGCTTCCAAGGGGTATTGAGGGGGAGACGAAGGCTGGTGCTGAATGATTTTGAAGAATGACAGATTCCAGGGGCAATTGCCATCTATTGAGGTGGAGACGAAGACTGGTATTGGATGATTTCTTGTAGCTTTCTCTTTTGCTATTTCTAAGTGTAAACTTATTTTTTTAAAAAAAATTTGTGAGTTTCTTTGTGTGCTAGGTTGTATCTGTGGGATTTTTCTGCGTTTTATTTGGCTTCTGTTAGTGTGTGTAACTATTTTTTTTTTATATTATTAAATTGACTCTTTGGGCCCCAAAAAAAGAATACCTCTTCCAAGGAAAATGGCAAAAGGAACGTCTATATCTGTGGACAAATAAGAAAATATGGCTTCATTTTCTACTCTTCACACAATACACTGAATAAAGAGTTTAAGCCACATTCAAGATTTGCCCAAGAAGATAAATCTTTGACCTTCACTGTAAATGATTGGTTTAGACAATTAAAGCTAGAGCTTTTGTGGATCATATAACTTTCATAAAAACAAATGCACGTTTGTTGCAGAGAACAAGGTTAAAAAAGAATTCAATAATGAAGTCCATGCAAAAATTAAACATAAAAGGACCTATAGATTGGAGAGAACTTTCGATTCTTGCATGTTTCCCCCAAAAAAAAAAAAAGTTTGCATCACAAATTAGTAACATTTTAGAGAAAACACATTCTCCTTTCCATCACATATTTCAATCTCGGTGTTCAGAAGAAATACCGTTATGATATCTGTCATGCGTTTTACTTCTTTCATCCATCAACTTTCTAACCATGGTGAGAAAGTCGTTATACTTGCATTCCATTTCCAACAAGCATCTTTCTCTGGGATTGATGTTCTCCATAAGGCCCATGAGTAATTTTTGCACAGCAACCGTCTCATTATGTTTTTTCTCCATTTCTATTAACTTGTGATTTTTGTAATCAAGTTCCTTTAGAAGGATTGCAATAATCTTGCTCTGTCTTCTGAGATCCACATCATCATCATGGTTCACCATTTTGAATATCAACGAAGGTGCCTCCAGAATCAGCCACATTTTAAGGAAAAAAAGGAAAGAATAATATTAATAATTGTACTGAACAGATTGAAGCGCTCTTTATTATATGAAGACATAGCTTTTAAGCACAATGTGGAAGACCAACAAATACCAACCATAGGATAGAAGCATTGCTTTTTGACGATTAAAAGATGAAGAACCCCGACGGGATGAAAGAATTTTGTTTTTCATTGCGATATGCAGTTTTCATTCAAACATCGCCCTTAAGAAACAGATGAAAAGGAAAATTGGTTCATTATTAGAAGCACGAAGTAACTTGCACAAAAAGAATATGCCAACTAATCATCGAATTAAGTTGCACTGGTGCAGGGCATCAAGGCTTTAAAAATAAACAAGAGAATCTTAGAATGCTAAAAATCTTGTTTGAAAAAAAACTCATCGTTATCAGGAAACTAGACAAGAACAAAATGATTAGGCACGAATCACAGTCAAAAGTTGCGAACTTCGATTTAAATGTGGCAGAAATGGTAAGAAGGGACGGGAAGCATACAATATGTAGGGAGAAACGGTTAAAATGGAGGGGAAAGAAGAAATGGGGCGGAAGTGGCGAAGGCTGTGTTCCGCTGGGGCTTCTTCTTTGGCTAACGAGGGCGCCAGCAGTCTTGCCAATGCTTGGAAGAAGGACGAAGGGGACACGCAAGAAGCGTGACAGGAACCGTCCCAAGTACCGAACTAGAAACAGGCGCGCGCAATGTCAATATCGTGATTGATCTTTTTTTTTTTTTTTTTTAAAAACACGGTTAACAAATGTATACAAATTTTGTTAATTCATTTTCTTTTTTTTAAACCTTATCATAAATTATTTTTCAAATCATTTATAATAGAAAAAAAGCATCCAAGACAAAAGATGTAGGCACATGGATTGGAGCATTATATTCAAATAGCATAAGGAGAGGGAGGCAGGAGGTAGCGAAAATGAGAACGATAAGGTTGGATTTGGATAGGGAAGCAGGGAGTGGATTTGAGAGAGGAAGAGAGAAGAGGAAGGTGGCAGTATATCCACTCCACCAACGACTCCATGTCGTCCGCAAAGTCAAGCATCTGCCTCTCCAACAGCTCCGGCACTATCATCTTCCTCTTGCTTCTCATCCTCAGCCCCACCGCTGCTTCCAGGTACTCCGCCTTCGCTCTCTCCAGTTCCTGCCCTACTTCCTCCCCGCTGTACACCCGTAACTGCATTCACATGTCATTCATTCATTCATTTCTCAGACCAACCAACCAGTTATCATAATATCTATACTCACCGCTGGCGACGACCATGTCCCTCTGCACAGTCCAAACGTCACGTTCGCTTCTGGGTACCCCAACCCATACGCATCCCGCACCACCATCGCCTTCTCATCCGCGCCTCTCTGCTCATCACCTCCCTTTGTCAATAGATATATAAAGCATACGGTTTGAGTATGTTCACATACAGGTGGCATGCATGCATGCATACGTACGTACGTACTTGTTTTGATTCTCCTGGATGTCGCAGAATCAAGTGTTCAATGGCCAGAGCATTCAGTACCATTCCGCCCACATTGATTTCCGCCTGCCCCCACACCCCATTTTCTCAGTGATTTCCATTTATCCCCGTATACAACTCACCCTCCCCACCCAAAAAAAAAAAAAAAAAAAACCCAAAATCCACTTTTCTCCTCGCCTGCCTTACCTTAGTCATTACCTCTGACACTTCATCCTCGGTAGAAGGCATCCCCTGCTCTAAAAATGCCTGAGAATTCGCCAAAACACAAGGCCATGAACTAGCGTTATTACAAACTTCATCTTTTGTGTGTGCGTCGCGTTGTGTAAATAAAGGCTTCAATTGCCTTACTGTACATTCATTATGCAGGCGTTGTAGATGTTGATCCAGAATGCCAATTTCTGGTTGTTGGTCAAGAAATTCAAATCCACCTCGCACAGCTTATTTATCAGCACCCTGATAATTATTATTATTTTTAAAATGGAACATTCTAAGGTTGTTCGTGAGCAAAGACTAACTCAAAACATAAAGGAACCTCAATTTTCCAAACGCGGGCAGGCACTGCGAAAAGCGGTCAATGTGCAATGAGCTGCTAGTGATGTGAATGAACTCCTTGTATGGCCCCACATCTCTTGCTAGGCAATCTGAATCTGATGATATACCGTAAGGATCTGTACTTAACACGTATGGATCTGAAAGGAATGAAGGCGTCTTGCAAGCGAAGCCAGTAGATTTCATGCACGACAGCGTAAGTTTTGGAGCACCAGCGTCTGGTTCTTTTCTGTCCCACGATGTATCGTTCAGTTCAAGAAATATTCCGATCAGACATTTAAGCAGTTCCTCTGACAGTGCGTTTGCTTTCTGAATGCCCATTATTGCTATTTGTGTTTGGCATTGTCTTGGGACTTCTCCCTGAGCTGTACATTCTATCCAAAAGGAAAAAGACAAAAAGAATGATATATTTTGAGATTCTACTTTGAATCTCAAAATAGAAGGATTAATTCATCGAACCCACTAATTAAAGAGTAACTCTTCATAGAATTACCCCCACCAAAACCACGTGCGGTGAGAAAACGAAGCAGGAGGAAAAAGAGTTCTATCTTAATTGCGCATAGGGGCATCAATAAATAGGATTTTTTTCGATTAAGCGAAATGATAGAAGTAGTTAAAAAAAGGGGGGTAGGATTTTTTTCGATTAAGCCAAAATGGTAGAAGTAGTTAAAAAAAAAGGGGCGAAAAACTTGTTTAATGAACAGAACGTGTTTGAGGCTTACCGTTTGACCTTCTGGATGTGGTGAACAGGGTATGGATATCTAATGCGGAACCCGGAGAGACTCTTCTATCTCTCGTTATTCTCCTTTTCGTGAATACCTGAAAGTTGTGCGATCTGTACCTCTGCCCGTTAACCATTGAGCCATATCCCGACGATCTTCTAAGATGATGTTCCCATTCTCTGCTTTGATCTCCCTCCGTGGACAGTTGAAGTTTCAGCTCCTTCACCCTTCTTTCGAGCAAAAGGATCTCCTCCTCCACAGTTGCCAGTTCTTGGAGGAGCACCCGGACCTACAACATCCAATGTCAACTACGACCAACAATTCTAGCATTTGAAGGGGGTAAAAAGATGTGCTTTTTGGGAAAGATTTCGCTTTATACACGAGGAGGAAACGATGAGATCAGATATGGGAGGGACAAAGGAGGACAATCAATTGCGCAGCGTAAGACCCTATTAATTGTTTCTTCGGCCTTCAACTGTGCTTCCAAATGGATAACCTGTAAAATTGTAACGAGTGAATTGAAAACAACAGTATTAGAAGGTATTAGCTCGGCAATATAGCTGTGTGTGTATTTGCGTACAAGAGATTGGTTACCTCATTCTTAAGGTCCTGCTTTTTCTGCTGCACCATGCTTTTCTTTATAAGATGGTCTTGGAATTTCATTGGGAGCCGCAGAGTAAAGAAGCCTGGGGCATGGAAATTATGGATATGAAGGGAAGTTACATGTCTTTAAATAAATGGAAGGGCGGTGAGCGCCATTAGGGTGGACTAGGACTGCTTGGAATGGCATGGGTGTTGCATATCACGTGAACTCCTCCCTCTTTGGCACAAAGTCAGTCATCAGTTTTAAGGATGCCGGTGGTGTGGTGTGACGCCTGTGAAGACCCATTGGATGAGCGGCGGACATTCATGTCTTCCCACCAAGGATATCCATGGCATTTCAAAAAAAAACCATATCATGTCTTCCCACCAAGGAAGTCATAGCACGGGGGACATCCATGCTTCCGTTTGGCCTGTACATTTTTAGGTGCCACTATATATATTAAAAAAAAAATAAACCGACCTTTTTTGATTTGATAAATAAACATCTGTACCAGAAAAATTAATAAAGCTTTCAAAACATTTTATCATCTTTTGCAGGTGTATATCAACACAAACAGAGTTTTATTGCTCAATATTTTATTATCTTTTGCCGGTCTATATTAAGGAAGATAGAGTTTTCATGCCCAATTTGCATACCACCTTTTTGGCCACTTGAGGATAATTAAATTTGTAGCTGCAGAAAAATTTAACCGACTTTGATCATTTGATGCCGTCATGAACCGAAGGCAGAATGAAAAATATAACAGTGCAGATGAATTCTACACGCAAGGCCAATTGTTGCAACATATAACAATGACACGTGGTTATCTTATTCATCTGGCTCCCTCACAAATTCTATTTAAGATTTTACTCATTCTCATAACCTCTCAAGCAAAGAATGGGATGAGCTCATGACTCCTCACTCCCCACTAAGCTGTCGCTGCAGGCCGGCCAGAATTTCCAAATGGTTACGTCAGCTATATGGTGCCTAAAGGACCCGACATTTGAATTACAAGCTTCAAGAATCTCTGTCGTCAACAAACCATATGCCTGTCCTTTCACATTCCTTATCATCTCACAATTGGTAATAGCCATCATGCTAATCCGTTTCTCATTCCTTGTTCAGCCGGCATCTCCCACCTCGCTCATCTGGTTAACGGGAACTTGACATTGTATGGGAGAAAGATCATACCATAACCTCCTAAGCTAACGGCTTCATGCCAGATCCTCATCAGCGCCCAAAGGATTTTTCTGGAAATTGTTCCGTAGCTGACCACAAGCCGCATTTGCATCCAGTCCTCTTGTTTGCCGTACGCTGACAGCTATATTTCGGGACTCCAGAGCAGAAACAAATGCCTGCACCTGTAGGAAAAAGCGTTAAGAGCTGTTCGGAATCAATCTGAAATTATGAAATAACTCGTGACCAAGTAAATTAAGGCTTCAATTGAAGAAAATAAAACTTAACATACCGCCTTCTTATAAGGACGGTGATACTCTGATCCTTCTATTGGATTGAAAGGTATTAAGTTCACGTGATAGCCATGGCCCCATCCATGGAGTAGTTGAGCAAGTTCCACAGCATGGTCTACTGAATCATTGACTCCAGCTGCTCAAACATAATGCCAAGAATGTGCCATTGACATGGACATGAATCTCATTAACCATTTACCAAAAGAAAGTAAAAAGTGCGTTTGCGCAACTTTTTGTACCTAAAAGAGCATATTCGAAAGAAATTCGCCTGCTGGTTTCAAGGAAGTATTCCTTGCAGTCTCTCATAAGGGCATCCAATGGATAGGATTTCGCACTAGGAACAATTGACTCCCTAAGTTTCTGGTTAGGAGCATGAAGGCTGATGTACGATTAAAAACTTGCACATCAGAAAGACAATTATATAAACGGCGTCATTTGAAAGAATTCACTGACTTCTGAACAACTCTGACAGTAGACAACAGCCATAATTTTTATGAGGGGGAGCAAGAGTTCAAGAAAAAGTCACACCAGCATACATCTGAGCAATCCGCCAATAAAGGGGGCAAAAGGATAAAATTTGACTGGGTCTTCAGAAATTAGACAATAGCCAGGGTTCAATTCCATGAAAATCTTGATCCAAAGCAACAATCATACATATTGGCTCATGAAAGTACAAATTTCGCACTAAAAACTCTCCAATTCCTGATTAAAGTTATTTCTCTATATGGAAAAATAGAAGAAATTAATTTTTGTAAAGTCATGGTGAACCTGATTAAACTTTGTAATTCAATCATATGAAAAGATCTTTCAACATAAAGCAGATTAAAAAAGGGTGCCAGCTAAAATGGCAGCAGCCCTAAGGTCTAATTCCTCATGAAATGCCTTCAGACATATGGCTTGACGTGGAGCCTCAAAATCGGCCACATAAATTATAAATCAAAATTTCATTTTCTTTAAAGGTAATAAGGTAATACCTCACTGCTAATGTAGACTGAAGTTTGTGAGAAGCCAGCTTCTTTATCGTATTTGGAACTCCCACGGTGGAGATGGTAATCATTCTCTGCCCAATTTGCACATCCTAAAATACACACACAGCCAATGCAAAATGTCGCCTTTAAAACCTGTGATCTACTCTCTGGTTTCCATGACAATAAAACGAAATATTGAAAAGAAAACTAAGCTTGAACAAACACAACAGCTGTTTCTGATGAAATGATTTCCTGAAATTTGGAAGGGGGTGGTATACGCATGTTCATTGCAAGAAATCTCATCACATCCATTTAAATCTACTGAAGAAACAAAAGCATCAATAACCGCTACCAAATTCTGTTTGCATTATTAACCAACAAAACTGGAAAACTGCAGATGAGTGACCCATCTGAAACACTTAATATAGAGGGGAGGGACAAGTGCCTAATTATTGAAGAGAACACATAACATGTTGACAAATCACCATGCCATGCTTCGAAAGGATATTAGAAAGTAATTCCACACATCACTGTAGCTAATTCACCTTATTCAAGCAGTGGTGAGCTTCCAGTACCCTCTTCATATTTAACATTGGCTCACCCATTCCCATAAAAACTACATTTGTCACTCTGCGCTTGAAAACCTCTTCAATGGCCAAAACCTGCGCATAAAAGATGTATTCTATTAATGCGATGACTTCTGGGTGGAAAATAATCCCATGTTCCCAACAACAGTAAGAATGATCACCATCATTTTTATCTTCCCTTTATTCTTTTTTGCCTCTTTGCATTTGTTCAAAAAGGATCAAATAATCTCAGTTACTTTGGGCAATCTAATTTACAAACCATTGCAAACAATCTAAAATCAAATGGCATTATGATTTAGCTAGTATGAGACAAGCTACAACCTGCTCAACAATTTCATGCCTCTGAAGATTCCTTGAAAAACCCCCCTTTCCGGTGGCACAAAATGTACATCGTAATGGACAACCAACCTGCAACACCGAATGTATCAAAATAATGAGAAACAACACCATTAATATCACAAAAACCAAGAAAACGAGTTCTCAAATTGACCATACAACTATTCTAGCAAGCATTAAAATGAAATACCTGTGATGAGACACACGCAGTTAGGCGAACTGAACCTTTATCACCTTCAACGGGAATACCAACAGTTTCAATCAATCTGTTGTCATGCAACTTCAATAATAACTGCAAAATCAGTTTCCAGAGGAAATGTAAGAAATCAACAAAATCCATGATCATATCCCTTAAAGAGGGATAACCAAGAAAAGTAACGGAGTAGATAACATCCTTTTAACGAATGCTGACTTTACAAACAAAAGAACAAACTGCAAACAATTGACAAAACAAGTCAGAATTTGTTTTCAGAGTTCTTGAAATTTAAGAGTCGCATAATCAACAACGAAAGTATGAAGAGCTTAAAGCAGGCCAATAGAAAGAGAGAGTTGATTTCATTGAATGAAGTGTAACGTATTTATACAATGATAGATGTAATGTATTTATACAGTGATAGATAGATGCGCCTCGTAACTTAACTCTGTACAAGTATTTAAACAAAAGAATATAAAATTATTTTTTAATTCAATTTTCTTTTCTGTTTCTTTTCACTGGATGTAATATACAAGATCAGAGTTTCTCTGTTTGCAGCGAGAGGGAAAAATCTTTGATTATAGGTTCACCTTAACAGTGCCATCAGCCGCGGTGACAGAGCGGAAAACAAGAGACCGGCCTACGCTCCATCCAGCTTCTTGAAGATCATCCCGAAAGGTCCGAGGCACTGAAAATAATATTAGGAGCAGGGCTCAAGGTCGAAACCCAACAGACAGAACAAAACTGCAAAAAAGAAGGGAAATTGGGGAACACCCACACTGATATAAATTCTGAATCTCTCTGACCTTTCTCTGGTATATAAGATGATGGAGTTGCTTCCCTCTATAGCTTTGCTAAGGGAAATAACAACAAAGGAAGACAAAACCGAAGAAAATCAGACAGGTTTCACTGTGTTACATTAGAGCACGTAAACACCAATCAAATACCTTCTTAAGAGAGAATTTTAATACCTGGCCCAATTCAAGAGCCAACTGTTGCAAGTCTTTCTCGGACAAGCCAAGAAGAACCTGAGACTGGGAGTCGCGGGTTGTCGAAGGGACAGAAAGGTCGCAAGGGGAAGTGGTAGCAGCGGCCATGGTGCAACAACGGAGGCTAGTCCGATGTGAAGGGCGCACTAAGCGCGCGATGGGCATGGAAAATTGTTGAATTAGCGCCATTGAAGAGGCAATCATTGCCCTTTCCTTTAGTTTCTGGGAACGGATAATCCACAGAACAGACAATCCTCCCACCCTACCTCAAACCCTTGTTATCGCACAGTATTCACTATTCACAAAACCCTGAGAGTGGCTGATACGAGTAGGGGTGAGTATTCGGTTTTTCGGTTCGGTTATCGGTAATAATCGAACTAACCGAATAACCGAATATAGTAAAATTTAAAAACCGAACCGAAACCGAATAACCAAACTAACCGAAACCGAATTAACCGAAAATTTCGGTTCGGTTAACCGATTAACCGAAATATATAAATATGAAAAATGATTTTAAATTAATAATAATAATAAAACACAATTACAACTATTAATTAATAAATATTTCATGATTCAATATGATTTATTATAATAATATTTATTATAACCATATTTATTGAATATAAATATATTTAAAAAGTTCATATATACCCACATATATATTTATTATGATAATATTTATTAAATATAACTATATGATATATTTATTTCGGTTATTCGGTTATAACCGAAATTTTTTTCTACTAACCGAACCGAACACCGAAACCGAATTGTTTAAAAAATAAAAACCGAATATATAACCGAAAACCGAAATTGAATTCGGTTCAGTTCAGTTTTCGGTTACGGTTCGGTTTTGCTCACCCCTAGATACGAGGAAAACAGAGAAAGGGAAAAAAAATTTGAATGACCTCAATTTAAAAAATTAAAAAAAAGAAAATTTTAATAAAAAAGGATGTAAAATAAAAAATTAAAATTGATTAAATTTTTTTAAATTTTTTTAAATCAAGCTCATTGCACTTTTTTCTTCCTTTCCTTTCATTTTCCTCCTGCCTAATTAAAATGAAGTGTGCTATACATATTTATTAGTGAAACGTGACAAAATGAGTAATAAAGATATTTTTAACTGTTTCTGGCAAAAAAGATATTGTTTATTGTTATCAATAATAGCAAAGTTCATTTCCATTATTAATGCAATTAATAGATTAATAACGTTGACTTTAGTTATTATCAGTTATAATAAATAAGAATTTTTTAGTTTAACAGTAGCTTCCATCTAATTGTCCAATTATTTTTTCCCTGAGTTAAACTTTTTGGAATTACTAAAGAAATACATTTTATTAAGTAATAAATGTTAATTTTTTATTGACAAATAGGGGTTATATCTAACGCAAGGGGTTAATCCCTTACAATATGGGAAATCAAAATTTAAATTCCTGTTAAGAGAAGTGTTCATATTTATTGGCCAACTCTAATAAAATTGCACTTGTGCCAAAAAAACTATTTTTTATTTGATTTTGGAGTAATATATATAGGTTTTTTTAATTAAATTTGCAGTCTTCCATCAAAATAACAATATAAGGCTAAAAAAAAAAACCCCCTTAATCAAATCCAAAAGCATATATAATATTTTTTTTTAATATTTACATTTTCATATTTTTAATTATACTACCTCTAATCCTAAATATAAGAGTTACAGTAAATTACACTACAAACTACAAACTAATTCTTATTTATAAAAACGGACATACCATACATATGTATATATTTGCTAGTTGCATGTCATGTGCAGCTGAATTAGCCATCACCGAAAAAAAAAAAAAGAATTAGCCATTTAATATTATATCACGTACATGAATCAAATTTGCTAACCCAATATTACCTAAACAAGCTAAATGATCATTTGTTTTTGGACCGATGGGTTATTGGTGGAGAACATAATGATCAGTAAATATATTTGAACAATAGAAATTGGAAATAGATCATATTTTCCTTTCATGACTTGTAAATAATTTTATATTTTTGATGGTTTCTACCAAGTAAACATATTTTTCATGTATGCCTAATAATTGAAGTAACATTACATATAAAAATGAAGGAGCAAGTCCGGTTCTGTTATTGTTCATTCTGTAACTTTATTTTATTTATAATTTACATTATATGATATTAATACAACAGTATTGATTATACCCTGTCGCTGTATGCTACATTTTCACATCATGTGACTTGGAGAGAGTTTGAGAACCTTTAAGACCGCTTAAAAAAAAAAATGTTTTCATGTTCCTCACAAACACACCGCACGTGACCTGGCCAGATTTTTTCATCCTTAGCCGAGGCCCTGGTTTTATCTCCGTCCCCTCCTTTTCCCAAAAGCATACTCAGCCAATGCTACACAGACCATAATGAAAGGCATTGCTTATTTCTTTCCTCATTTACAAAATCATTAACTGTACACCAATCACCTTTCTTCATGCATGCTTTAGTCAATATTCAAAACAATGAAAAGGGAAACCAGTAATATTTCCGTCTAATTACATAAAGTAGAGGCCGATCACGTTGGCGTAGAAGTCCCTTCTCCGTTCGAAGATCCACTGATGCTTCTTCTATGCTGCTTAGGACCATTGCTGATTTTGAGAGCTCCCTCCCACAGTAGCCATGTCACTCGAATCCTGAAAAAGTTCCAATGCCCTGACCACCTCCTCCATGTTTGGTCGCATTTTGGGTTCTACGGACAAGCATTTAAGCGCTAGGCTAGCCACTTTCATTGCTTCCTGCTGTGAGTACTGACCCTCGATACGAGCATCCATAACCTGGAAAATTCGCCGTTTGCTGGTCAGGTGAGGCTTTGCCCATTCAACTAAATTGTGCTCCCCAGATGGCCGGTTATTATCCAGTGCACGTTTGCCAGATATGATTTCAAGGAGAACAACCCCAAAACTGTACACATCACTCCTTTTAGTCAAGTGGCCTCCACACAAAATTTTTTTAAAAAACAAAAAAGGAAAGGTCAGGAATGAAATTGTGGTAAATCTTTGATACCATGGCAGTACAATGATGCCGTAGAAGAAAAATGAACTAAGAGTTGTAAGACAAATGAGAAGCAACAAAATAGCACTCGCAAGTTTATTCTTAAAATAGCAAAAATGTACCTTTACCCTATGTTTGGCATGAAAAAATTAGAGGAAAGGGAAGTAAAAATTTCAATGAGCTCGATTTAAAAAATTAAAAAATTGGGGTTTTAAAATTTTAATAAAGAGAATATCTAAGATAAAAGAATAACAAAAATTGAAAGCTTTTAACCCCATTTCTTTAATTTTTTTTAAATTGAGCTCATCAAACTTTTTCCCTTCCCTTTCATTTCCCTCGTATCAAACAAACCATTAGTCTTTTAAACTTTACACAAGATTTTATTTTGATCCCTCAATTTTATAGTCTTTCCAATTATCTAACCTTAATGGTTTATTTGGCATGAGGGAGATAGAGGGGAGAAGAGAAAAAAAATTAATAAGTTTGATATAAAAAAATTGAAGAAATGGGATTAAAAGCTTTTAAGTAATTTTTCTTACTCTTTTATCTTAGATTTTCTCTTTATTAAGATTTTATAATCCCACTTATCCATTTTTTTTAAATTGACTTTCCTTCCCTTTCCCTCAATTTCCCTCGTGCCATAGGGTAACACGGTTAAAAAAGGATGTTGATATTGAAATTTTAAGTATTGACAAAACACACTTAAATATTGATATATTAAATTTAATTTTCCAAAAATAATAATGACTAAAAAATTTATCATTTGAAAATAAGAGTATTAGAATTACCAAACTAAAAAAAAATACTTTATAAAATTAAGAGATCAAACTAAAATTTTATACAAAGTTAAAGAACCAAAAATATGTTTTTACCCTCCTAAAACCTAGCAACAACACTAGGCATTATGCGCAAGAAAAAAAATCATTCACTGCAAGTGACACACACCCTCATGTATTGGTGATGATGAAAATGCAGAGTAAATTGAGGGTGCCACTGGTGAATTTCTGTTAAATGAGTGATGCTACCGTTTGAGACAAAACTACGTGCATGCAATACGTAAAGTAGCTAATAGCTACCCTGCAAGTATAAAGATACCTGTGGCCAAATACTCAGGTGCAGCATAGCCATAGGTTCCCATTACTCTTGTAGAGACATGGCTCTCGTCACCTGCTGGTCCATCCTTTGCCAACCCAAAATCAGAGAGCTTCGCGTTGTAGTTCTGACATCAACGAGAAGGAATATTAGAAACACGGCTAATTTCTAAACTGGTGTGACCACTGTGACTCACATACCGAATTGATCAAGATGTTAGAAGTTTTGAAGTCTCGATATATCACTTTTACTGGGTCACTGTGAAGAAATGCCAGACCCTTGGCAGCATCAAGAGCAACCTTCATACGGATGCTCCAAGAAAGTGGTTGAAAGTAAGAAGCCCCTGCTCCAGCGACAGCAGTTAGTAAGTCCAGTATCAGGCATTAATAATGTCAATGGCAGTGTTTTGGAGAGGAATTGATAACTCACTCCTAAACAAGTGATTATCCAAACTGCCCTTGGCCAAAAATTCGTACACCAAAATCCGGTGGTCATCCTCTAAGCAGTAACCAATCAGTTTCACTAGATTAGGATGATGTAGCTGCCCCAGGTAGTTTATTTCTGTCTACGGCATAAGACTGATTAGGCATATTATACACAAGTAAGCTGTTTTCTACAGAAGTTACTGAAGTTAAATCACCAAAAAAAAAAAATCCTCCAATTAATCCGGCAACTGCATTCCACATTTATCTGCAAAAAGGTTCTTCAATGTAAATAATTCATGCTAAGTGACGCTCACCAGCCATTCAGCGTGTCCCTGAAGGCCTTCTTGGCTAAGCCTCTTCACAGCAATCACAAGCCCAGTCCCTGGTTTAATCGGTGCAAGTGTATGCTCATCTATCCAACCCTTAAATACGCAGCCAAATCCACCTTCACCCACCACACTATCCGGACGAAAGTTCCTTGTAGCGGTTCTTAGCTCATTAAAGCTGAAGTTCTTCATGTTGGAGGACTTCAAGATCACACCCTCGGACCGGGGAGTGGGAGGCACAGAGGGAGCGGGGGTCTTGTCACTCAAACCACTCAGACCACCCAAACCATCCTCTTTCATGTTACCATCATGTGAAATCAAACCTGCCCATATCAAAACAAGATTGGATCCACTTATCAGATCATATATAAGCAGCACGATTATAAACTTGGATTCGAATTATAAGAAAGGTCTCGGGTCAGGTTGCAAAGGGAGAAGGAAGTCTCCAACAATTTAACAGCCGAACACATTTAACTGACAGTTACAGGGTTAGCCATATTGTAAATTCGAGAATTAGCTGAATCCTATATTTTATTTTCCTCAACATTCCATGGGCACAGGTCTTCACTAGATTCTCATGCTTGATTGATTCTTAAAATCAAATCTAATCATGCTGATCAGAGGAACACTCGAGGAAGATAGTCATACAAAAAGCCTGGATCTTTGAAGCACCCAAAACAAAAATTATTCTAGATGCGATACAAAAAGCTATCACAGTCCAAATTCGAGCAAAAATCGCTCAGAAAGCACTCAGCAGGCAGAACAAGTAATTAACGATGAGAAGAAGGGAAGCAAAGAAATGTTACCATTGCGAGGAGGGCTCTCAGCTTTGATCCTCGCACTAAAGCAGCAACCCATGGTGACAGAGCAGAGAGCTCAGAATTGGTAGAGTCTGGAGTGAAGCTAGAAGGTATGAAAGAGGAGGTGAAGGGAGCACCGGGGGGGTGGGGGGGAACAGGTGGAGGCATGAACGGAAAACACAATTGAGGAAAGGAAGACAAGTTGAAGTTTTCAATTAGAAAGAATAGAAGAACAGGTCGCCAAAGCCCGTGAAAAGGGGAAAGGCACATATACAGGTGTGAAATCAAAACTTCTCCACATGAAACGTAAGCTGTCAACCGCGGACTTAACCGCCCAAAATCAATGCCAGAGAACAGGCTCCCCGGGATTCTGGTGTGAAAAGGGGTTAGACCATTGAGAAGGACAAAACAACAGGATGAGAGTCAGCGTTGACCCGGCCGCATCAGTGTTATGTCTATCATCAAGTGGAGCAAAAGGTCTCAGAAAGTGCCATCCCTCCTTCCTTGCTTTAAAGCTTATCCTTCTGTTTTCTTGGGTCACTATGGAAGACGACAATTGTGCATGCCCGGACCTACTCTGAATCGGTGAGAATTCTCATTCACTGCACCACCAATTCAAAAGATAAAACAGCGTCCTTCTGGTTGACAACTGACTGCCTCCACTGCGCCAGAGATATGACCGACGGACCTTTGGAGGTCGAAGAAGAAAGAATGCTGAGGATCGAGACCAGCGAGATTATGTTGCAAGATTCTGGTAATCGACGCCAGCAGACTTCATCAGAAAATGGGCTGTGAAATCCAGAAATGGTTTGCGAGGTTGATGTTCGACGGATCGGATTATGCCCTGCCCACCCATCACCATAAACAGCAGGGTTTTGGGGATGAGGATATTGTACATTGATAGAACATATCGTACTTTTTTTTTTTTAGACCGATGAACATATTCTACATCAACTTAGATTTTCTTAGAAAGTTCTTGTCCCGAAATTAATCTCAGTAGCAAATGACCAACATTGAATGGTAAAACTAAAAGAGTAACAATAGACTCTTAAATATTCACAACAATGATGGGAGGCACGAAAAATGCATAAAGAAGAAAATGTCATTGTCTGATACGCTGATGTGCATTCGAATATCAATGTATCACTTCTCTTAATAACCTGTCTCTTTCAGTAGATATACATATTCTGGTGCATCGTTTTGGTGTGGGGAAGATCAGTGAATATTATGTCAGGACTCACTCAGGAGACCTGTTTGGTTCCATGATCAAAACATGGTCACCGGGGTTGGAGAAAGAGCTAGGTCAAAATTGTGACACACCAGGATTGATCGAAAACATGGAGAAAAGAATTGCCAGCCCTGATAGATTGGGGATTCAACAAGAATGACGCTGGCGCCCCTCCCAAATGTCACCACTCAGCAAGTATTATTATAGTAATTCTCTATCCTGAGATAAACAACATGCATGGATATTACGACAGCTATCACTCGTCAGGGCCAATACATCTGAACTACTATATTAATTATCCACCTAATTGATGCATCTGAACTACCATAACTATCTCTAACGAGTCGTTCAGTCATGTTACATAGCATCAACAGATGACAAAGCCTTGGAATTTTGACCCTTCCATGGTTTATACCCTGCGTAATTATTGAAACTAGCGTGATAAACTAGGGCATTAAAAGGCAAATTTACCAAGTCAGCAATAATCCGGAAAAGGCGTAGTATGATACATTGCAAGCTTAATTCATGAAAATCTTGTCAACCTTACTGCCGTCCCCAAAGGCCTCGCTAACTTGCATATGAAAACTGACATAAATTTATACAATACTACCAAAATACTCATAAACCCAAAATATATATAGCATTAGCTTATGCAATTAAGCCTTCTACTTCGTACCAAATAAGCGCTTAATGTATTTAAAAACCACCTTTTCCAACTTGTATAGTAGACGATTATCCATACATACAAATATAAATATATACATACATAAATACATGGATATACATATAGGACAACTTCCAATATTTTGCTACAAAGAAAAGAATTCTTTCAATAATAAACACCAAATCAATTTTTTTTCCCGTAACGTTGTAATCACGAATAATTTGGTATCTTTTTTTTGGTGGATTTGATAGTAGTTTTCATAGAAATTCAGAGCTGTAACATCTTTTCCTTATAAATACACGAACCGGTTTAAGAATAATACTTCTATTTTTGGTTCGTTCTCTCGTTGCCCAAACTTGAGCATGCAGAGCTGTTTAACAATAAATATACAGTGAACCTAATACCAAATATAAAGTGAACCTAAAAGTACAATAACACGGTGCATGATTAATCCCGCGTCTTTCAGACCAACATCGCAGCAGATCCATTGACTCCCAAGTACGTCTTCCCCGACATTTAAAGATGTTCCTATGGTTCTTTCTCGCGCACTCTCATATAGGACCGCATTCCAACGCCTTAATTATATTACGATGCCAAATTGCAGTGTAAGGATCAAACCTCAATTCCCATGTAGGCCAGTAATGCAGATCTTGCTTCAATGTAAGGACTCGTGGCCTCCCATTAAGATGAACTGTTTTTACACGGACAAACTCCCCGTGTTTTAGTTCCTGCCAACACATACTCCCCGTGATTATAAGCTACAGTAATTCATGAGAACTAAAATCGAAGGTGAGATCGGAGCTATATATATAGTGCAGAGATGGTTTAAACAAATGAATTCATACAGAGAGCACCAAATCACGAACACTCTCAACACGGCATGTTAAGAAAGTTGCTGCATAAAACATGCAATACATTGTATATACAACCATGAAGCATCATTTAACAAAAACTGCATATTATATCACCACACAATTCTATTGTATCTTAACATTAATAACAGTAATCCTATATATAACATACCAGTAGTACAGCACAAAAAGACCTACAGCTGAATAAGTCAACAGTGACGCCATCAGGTCAAACGCACTAATAATTACAAATCCGGAAGAGGGAAACAGAATTGTATTTGAGGGAAGCCAGAATCTCATGTCAATAAATAATTTCAATCGCAAAGCAGGGAGTAAATCTTCATCGTAATTTCACATGTTCATAACGATTCAAAGAAGAAACCTGCATATAGATGCCATACATTCTATTGCATTTAATGTCACTTTGGATACCATATTATGCACACACTAAACAGGAAGAAAAAGAGCACCCACAGAAATTCAAGTTTCCTCCCTGTAAAATTAATTTGAATACCTTAGTCACATTAACAAAAGCATCTAAATCTGGAGTCGGTCTTTCATTAACTTCGACAATCCACTGAAGAGCATAAAGACCATATCTATGCACAGGACTGCCATGACACCACCTGCAAATTTTAATACATAGATGAAGGCCCTTACATGCTAAAATGTACAGACACCCACCTTGCTGGTATTCAATAATCAGCACTGTACATGTTTCAGAATAAAAGATTTGCAAGCACAAGATAAAACCATACCTTGCCACATACACGCCATGACCTTCTTCAGGAAGAAATCCAAGAGCCCGTACTGCTGGATGGGGATCTTGGACAATACAACCACACCAATTAATTGCCCGAGTTGTTCCATTTCCATCCCTAACATCTGTTCCCACAAGAAGATCAACTTCATTCCCCTGAGACATCATGCAAATCTATCATTAACACATAGCCCATATGCCTCAGTACAAATGGCCAGAAAACAGCCAAAGTTTTGCACATAAGCCAAAGTTTGATCTACACAAACTTTAATTTGCAAAGGACATAAGTTCTCTCATACCTGCCGAAAAATAGTCATGTGAAGCATCCCATCATTGGTATCTGATTCATCTAAAGCTTGACAAGCATTTTCAATGTCACGAAAGCATGTCACTGGTTCTTTATTGATTGCTAAAACCATGTCTCCTTGTTCTAAACAATTTTCAGCATTTGATCCAGCCAAACAACCTTTAACACGTAATACCTGCCGTCTAATTGGGTCTTTCTTAACAAGTGCCTAAAACATTATCACTTTTAGTTATAAGCATTAAATCACAAAGGCAAATTTTAAGCTTGTTCTTTCAAGAAAGTTATAGAAAATGAGATTTTAATAACTAAAATAAAAAAAATTAAAGATGAATGATTAGTCATATCTATCTTGCCTTGAGCCTTATCTAATTCATGATAATTTTGAGAAATTGCTTAAGTCACCATGTGTGATATCTAGGCCTAAATTTATTCAAAATACTAAGCTAACTTAATGAGAAAATATGAAAATAAAAGATAAAATAAAGGATAATAACAAACAGAATAGAATAATAACAAAATAAATAACCTTGATGACATGAACCAACTATAATGCCATTTTATTGGGCTTGGTTCATGGGCCTAAGGGTCCGTTCGGCATGGAGGACTTGTAGGTTTGGCTTTGTAAAATTTTTAGGAGGGGACGGGAAATTTTCTCAAATTTTACCTCCCTCCACTCCAAAATTGGGAGGATTTGGAAGGGAGGGGTATTGTTTTGGCCCAGTCTTCACTGAAATGCCCTATCTTAGAACCAAAAAATTTACTCAACCCTATCCTGCTCCTGCCTCTCTTCCTCTAGACATGTTCACTGCTTGCTTCATTACTGTCAGCCTTGTCCCCTCCCTCTCCTGCTGTTTGTTCCATTGTCTTCCTCGTCCTTTCCTCTTTCTCTTGCTTGTTGCTTGTGGTTTGTTCTTATAATTTTTTATTCCTCCTTCTTTGCATGAGATGAGAATGCTGATATGGATGTATGATTATACAAAAAAAGATAGGACTCATAATGAACATATACACGGAAAAGTTGGAGTAGTTGCCATTGATGAGAAAATGGTAGAAAACCGTTTGAGATGATTTGGTCATATGCAAAGAAGGCTTTTGGATGCGTCGATGAGAAAGGTTGATCAAACAGCATATAGTCCTCTAAAAAGACGTAAAGGAAGGCCAAAGATTACATTCAATGAAGTTATTGAGCAAGATCTTTTAATTAACAATATATCCAAAGATTTGGCTTTGGATAGAGCTTATTGGCATCATACAATCCATGGGGTCAACCTCACCTAGTGAGATAAGGCTTTGTTGTTGTTATTGTTTTTGCTCCCCCAGTTTCCATCAATGTTTAGTACTCACTTCATCAGTATCCTCTCTTGTTTTTGTAGCTTCAGGCTTGTTTCCTCTTTCTCGTCCTTTCCTCTATAACCCTCAAGTCTCTTCACCAGTGTATCTATGCAATAATCTTGATAATATGGATTGAATAATAGTGGAGTCAAGAATATTTATTTGTTTTTTCTCTACCCACAATAATAATTATTGTATATATTATAATTATAATTATAACATAGTGAGCAATTAAAGCCATCCCATGTGTTTAACACACACAACAATAACAACAACAAATTCTTATCTCACTAAGTAGGGTCAGCTAAGTGGATCGCACGACACCAATGAGCTCTATTCAAAGTCAAATCTTTGGATGTATAAAACACCATGTGTTTAATACACACATACGAAAGTATAATTATAATTACTGGATAGATATTATTGTATATAAATTAGCTAATAGCTAATGATAATTATGTAATTATGTAACTATATTGTAATAGTATTTTTTTCAACATTGAATTCCCTCCCCTCCTCTCCCTTCTCGAACCAAAGGTAGCATTAAATTCCCTTCCCTCCCTCCCTTTTGATCAAGCAAACAGACCCTAACAGTTGACAGTTTGAACTGAATAATACTGCAGACAATTCATACATACTCTGACCACTAACAAAGCCTGAAACAATATTAAAATATAGCAGGTTATACGATTTAAGAAAAAATTCAACATTCCTGACAGGAGAAAACTAATATGGGGACATCAAATATTTCATATATATATATAATTAACCATTATTAAAAATTAGTCCTGAGCTTTGACACCCCAAAAAAAAAAAAACTTTTAACAACCTTAAAGGTGAAGTGGTATATTGCACAGTATTCAAGTCTCTAGACCATGTAGTTTCTATTTAAATATTTAACCCTTGCAGCTACATTATGACAACAAAATAAAGTTCAAAAACATGACGTTTAAATGTCTCATGAATAAAAATTTACAAAGGCCAACTAAAAGAGTAAAAGCAGCAACAAATAATATTAGGAAGATCTATACCCGGATCCAATCATCACTTAATCCAAAACTCCGAGCCTTTGAAAGCAAGGTTGGATAAAGTTCGACCTCTAAAATTCTGACCAGTGGCATGGGCCTTTTGACCCCATTTATGAGGAGAGGTGGCCCTTTTGCACCAACAACGATTTTTTCAAGGACCTCACTTATTGCATATACAGGAATACCCCTCACAAATTGATGATCTTCTGAGGTACTGCCAGCAAATTTAAGCTGCAAGAGAGAATTTGACTATTAGAAATATCAATACAATTATAAAGTACATCACAAACACTCAGGTTTGGCAAGCAAGCCATAGCTGTGCCCCCAATGAACGCATTGTATATTTGTATTAAAAATAAATCTGAGTTTCCACCAACTCCCAACAAAATAATAGAATCACGACGTGTTCAATTGAAATGACTAGGTGAATGCAAAAATATTGTAGAAAAATTATAGGGAGACAATCACCGTATGCTTAGTTTACAGGGGAATCATAGAAATTAATGAGATCACAGTGATCATAATCGTACCTGAAAATGAAATGGAAAACAATGCTGACAGCATGAAAAAATGCACGTGCTTTACTGAGTAAGAAAGATTGCCAATCAAGGATAAAATATTAATTATGATGACATTTCTCACTCCTACCTACTTTCAGTTTTACCAGGTAATTCTTAATCATCCCGTTTATCATAATCTCAATGGCCAACAGCTAAGAATAATAATGTTTCCATACTCTCCATTTTGACACCTCCTGGGGATTTTCTTTTTTCAAAAAACTAGCCAAGTCCATATTAATCATCCAAGGACTTTAACATATCAATAAAATTACTACCTCCGGTCCTAAATATAAAATCTCGTTTATAATCTACAAACAAGGTCTTATATTTAGGATCGGAAGTAGTAGTTTTCAAAGGTACTTAACTATTTGCTTTCAAATCTGTGATTTACTTTTACAAAGTCCAAGTCACTTCTAATACATAAAGTCCCCATTAATTGATATAGGCATTTTAAAGTGGAAAAGGAATAGCATAGACTTCCAAGGACCACCCCACCACCAGGTAGCCTTTTGAAGTTTGTGTAAAAATTGTCTTCTCTCGTCTCTTTCCTGTTTTTAGCTTTCTTCTCGTTGCCTTCTTCTACAAAGATGCAACTGTTTAAAGTTAGACCTTTTATATTAACCAAATGGAAAGATAAAAGACTAAAATCATTAAATTCTCCCACCAGAGAACTATGGACTTGTAACTTGAGTCAAGCAAGCTAAAGGACTATGGGAAGAGACTCAAGACAGAGGATAGTGTTGGGGAGCCAAGGCTGCCTTATCTATTGATGAGGTGGCTAAAAGAGGTAGTGAGATGCTGTAACTACCACGAGACATGAGGATGGGTGAGTTTGGACAACAAAAAGAGAGGTTGTGGTGGTAGAAATTTATCATCAAGTTTGGGGTCTTAGAAGAGGCAAGGACGAATTGTTCTGGTTTTGTAAGAGTCTTTGGCCTCACAAACGCTATATTTTTGTCATGTCATTTATTTTAGTCTTTTCAGCATTTTGTTCTCCCTTGTAACCACTCTAAATATATTAATGCCCATACTTTCCTTTGATTCAAAAGTGAGTTGTAAGATAAGGTCCATAAATAAAAAAGAACCAAGAGTTCCATCAGAAATATATATTTGCAGGATCACAGTTTAATCTTCCATTTAGAACTTTAATATTAAGGGTTATTACATGTTAGCACTTTAATCCTGCCTATCCAACTCTTCCCAATGAAAAGCGTCAAGAAGCTTGCAACAGGCAAAGAGGTGTAAACCTGAGTTGAGAAGCTTCCCCATATCGCTTGGACCCTTCCATGTTCATCTGTTAGCACACCCGAAAATGTACTACCAAAATCTGGATTAAAATACATCATGAGATCAGACATGTCAGAAGTATCCAAATGGCTTGGTGACAACACAAAGTCACTCATCTGGTATTTACCAGTATCAAGTTCAATTACTTCCATATTGGTTGCTCGGTATCGTGGGCTATCAGCACCCCCTATATTTAATGCAGCACAAGGATTGGTAACAACAGATTTCCTAGATGTTGCTTGAAGGTTTCTACTCAACCCAACAAGGTAAACAGAATCTCCTCGACGTAAAGCAGGCTCTGAAAGACAAAATGCAATTTAATACAAATCTTTCATCATTATGGATGATTGATTAGCAAATTCGAGTGTCCCCATACTCTGCTTGCTAATCACATCATCTACAACTAAAATATATTCCATACAAGTGAAACGCTTATGGCACCTTAAAAGATGCTTCCCTGTCCCCAAAATAGTTACTAGTAAACCAGAGCCATTAACTTCGACACATTAAGTATATTATGATGATGATGATGATGATGAACTGAGTTCTATCCAGTATTCAAATCAAACTAAAACTATCAACAGGGCAAGCATATAAACAAGTCCATTCAAGGTTAATTACAAGCAAACCACTTAGGCCAAGCTCACTAATTAGATCCAAACTATTCCTTGACAGAAAGTAGACAGGAGAATTTCTACTTTGAAGCACTAGAAAATCAGAAAATTATATATATGTTTTAGTTTCTTTTTCCCATTTTTGCCAGCTCATGGCAAGGGCGAAAGCCAGTCAACATTTCGTGAATCTAAAGTATGGATCATTATGCCAACGAAATTTGAAAATCAGCTCACAAATCCAGATTTTATAATGCTCCCATAGGCCCACAAAAGAATAACATAGTCAAACCCACCAGTAAGTAGCGTTGCAGCACAAACAACCGATGCACCAATTGGTCCCAAAGCAGATGGATCATATGAAATGAGAGCAAAATTGTGAACAGGATGAAGAAATACCACCTGCAATTAGTTTGAAAACATAGGGATATCAAGTTAAAAAGAGCCATGGTTTTTGTTTATTTTAAATTAAGGGTCAAATTCTATCAACAAAATTTACCTCTCCCGGAATTTCTACTGGGAAAGCAGCAAACGATAGCATTATATCAGAAGAGGATATTGCAACAGTATTCTTGTCAACAACGATTAATCCCAAGTTCTGGGAGTGATATATTATGACACCAGTTCCGAAAAAATGTTGTGAATGAACACCATCAAGCATACATGAAGGAGGGACATGGACCTGCATACCCCATAACTTTTAGCATAACCAGATTGTAGCACATATCAAGAAAATTTATGAACTGCAGAAGGAAACCACTAAGTTTGCTCCAGATTACACCAAATAAGCATTGGTGTTAAAGCACTATATAGTCCACACCACAAACAAATAGAAAGAGAAAAATCGAAATGGATAACACACTTTTGGCTCTCAAATATAATATGATAATAATGCCAGAGGTCAAGAGGGAAATCAAAAACTGCATAATAGAATTTTCCCTTCCAGAGCTTTTCAATAAGAAATAAGACCTGAAAATCAATTCATGTCCCATATTGCTTAGCAAATGACACAGAGTATGAGCCAAATAATCACAGTCAACATTTGTGTTTCTAAGGCCCAGGTATCCATCACAGTTTACGCAAAGATCATTTGTAGCTGTTAAAACATTACAAACACAGAAAAAAAGTTGATGCCTAACACCAACAATCAACAAATATTCTAAAACTATAGTTGTAAAGGAAAACTAGAGTCATATTGAAGAGAGAATCACATATTCAGGAATTTCTTTCCAAGATAATGCACAAGATGCCTTTTAAAATCTATAAATCGTCCTACAAAAACTACTGCTACATATCAGTAATAACCCTGCCTATCCTCTGAGCATACTTATGAATAACTTGAAAAAGTCATCCATTATGTGTAAAACTGATGAGAAATGCGTTAGTGTTATGGAGGGTCCTCTAGAAGAAACATGTTTGTGTTACATATGTTCAAGTTAAAAGGATATGCATGTAAGAACTCCTACAGATGGGTCAAAAGACTTTCCTATGACGATATATCAATATGAGGTATCATAGTTTAGTCCTTAATTATTTGATCAAGTTTTGGACATTCTAATCCAGCACACACGAAGGGAAATCCTTAAGCGTATATTAGTCTTTAGCCCTACCAACAGATCTAGAGGGAGACCCAAAATGAAACTTTTAACCTGATGACGTCTTACAATCCAATGGCTAACCTCCCTTACTAAGACAAGACATATTGTGTTTGTTGTTGTGTTGTATGTAAAACTAATGAATACACAGAAAATAAACCAACTTGCTCATTCAATAACATTTGGAGCCATTGATGTAGGTGCTTAGATTGAATCTCAATTCTTGACAATTTTAGGTAGTAGAATGGAAATGGGACCAGGATAATATTTCAGAAGACTCAATATTATTGTTCATATGCAAAGACCCAAAAAAAAAAAAAGGAATTCACAAGACAGTTACTGCACCTTACGTAGGCAGCTCAAACAACCCGAGTCTGCTAAGACAAGCAATTCATGCTTAAGATTCACACAGAAATCATCTTGCAAAACTAAACGAGCTAGGAACACAATATCAAGACATGATAGATTGAACTCTAAAATCAAAGATTACACATTATTAAACCTTAAGCCACCAGTTACAAATCCTAACATCAGATTTAGACTTAACTCATGTTGATATAATAGTACAAATACTACCTTTTAATACTACAATACCCTAGCCAAGGGAATAGCACTATTTTTCTGACCATATATTATAAATACAAAGACACGTATGGTGTACAGATAAACCATACTGATGAAATAAGGTTAAAATAGTTAGGACAGACACTTTTTCCTCAAGTTCGTTGAGACTTTTAATTCCCATGCCCTGAAAATATTTAGGTAATAGTAGTCCATGAGTAATCGATGCCTGATAATCAGCTAATAAACTTATCTCCCACACCTCTCTTCTTCTGTATATAAAAGAAAAGAAGGCAAGAAAGACAACGGGTAAGGGAAGGAAAACAGCACCAAGGTCTAAACATTGGGTGCCTTAGCACCTGAATATGACTCTTACCTGGTTAACACCTATCTGCCAAGGTTCTGCTCGCTTCACTCTCCTAGAAACACTCAGCCTTATCTCACTCAAATGGCAGCACCAGGCTGCCAGCAATCAACCAGTGATGTACTGCCAAGATGTACAACACCCCATATCAGGTATGGGTGTGAGCCCAGAACCTCAATGAAAAAACACGAGCGCATAGAAAATAACGACATTTCTCATGCACACGCTATACCATGCTTGACTCGAACCAAGTGCGCACACAAGAAAGACTTTCAAGCAAACATTGTATCACATTCATAGCACCAAGCCAATCAAGAAACGAATGTAGCAACTAAGAAGTACCAACAAGATTTCAAACAAAGTAAACATTTATTGAAATTTTCTTATTAGGTAGAAATAACAAATGAAACTACTTCTTAACTCTTCTAGCCTACATATATAACATTTAGAGACAACAGACCCAAGTAGTTACAAGTAACTGCAAACTAATTCTTATTTCTTCTATTAGCAACTTTAACTACTACAGTTTCTTACTCATTACACGTATCAGTACCTTCTTGTTTCAAATAAGTTACATAAACCCATGCCCTTGGCCACAAATGCATTAATGAACATTATGACAAAATTTATATAATATTACCTCAAACATCACAAGAGTAGGCTCAATCACCCGTTCAGCAAATGATGCATTCGCTGCTATTGCAGTGCCTGCACCTTGGGAGTACATTAAAACTTCACCCTGCATTGAACTTGACTTTTCCTGTTTGGTTTCCCTGGCATCATTCAAGGAGGAATCAGCAACAATATTTCCAGCAGCTGACAAATCCTCTTCAACTTTTCGTTTTTTTGCACCACCATCAGATGCATTATCTGTGGCATCTTCAGAACTGGCCTGCATGCCAGTGATACCATCAGGCAACTCTTGATTGTCATCTTGGTGCATATGTCCCACACAAGAATGCTCACCAATGGGTGAAGCTGACTGGCCAGCCAGATTTCCAACGTCTTTAATGTCGGATGATAGGATTAAGGAATCAGATTGAAAAGCAGGTTTTGCAATCCAGAGACCACTACAATCATCACGAGTGTATAACTGGGGGGACGCATACCATTCATGGCGGTCAATAGTGACCAAGACAGACTGCAGTCATAACATGAATTTATGAAACAATAATCAATAGACAATACCTTCAAGAGACAACACCAGGCGCTAATTTGGCAGATAAATATATTACCACCCCACTCTTGGAAATATTTCTAAATCATAATGTCCATGAAGTTATAAAATTAGAAGAACTAAATTGTAGGCTCAATTATCTATGAGCACAGGAAAACAACTGATCCAGAATCAGATAATAGTGTAGTGCCAAGAATTGACTATAGCAATAACTAGTAAAATACACGCCACATCAAAAACTTTAAATATACATTCATCTGATTTCATACATTTTGAACATATAATAATTATTACCTTCCTTCGATAGCGGTCCATGTGGCCTATATACTCCAATGGCACCCGAGCACCCCTAGATACTTTGCAGAGAACTGATATTAGTTCATCAAGACAAGATATTTCTTCACCAGCAAATTTCTTAATTATTGCATGACGAGGAACTCCTGCTCGGAAGAGCATATAACTGCAAAATATAAATTCCACGCATTCAATATCCACATGACAAGTACCTGAACGTGAAACACCAATTACAAGGGACCCCTGCCCCAGCACAACCCTTGTAGTTATGCCCTGAAGGAAGGAACGACATAAGACCCAACAGTCATTTGCAAATTCTCGTGTGATCAATAAATTTCATTGTTCTCACCCATCCTTAGTTGTTTTCATAGCCATAACTAACAAAAGCATATCAATATTTTTGTGATCAGTAATATTTTTTTTTAATTCTTGGGGAAGGGCAAATAATTATAAGTTATGCAGTTGTAATATTTCTCTGTGTATGCATACCCTGGTTCAGCCACATAAACAAGACCACAATGGAAACGGAAGTTTCTAGCCTGCATTGTACAAAATAAACAAATGCTTAATTAGTCAGCTAGCTCAGAACTAAAAAAATAAGCATCCATTACAAAAGGGATGAGCAGAAATATTATCTGGGGGGCTGAAGCATGAAGAATTAAACATAAGGGGTGTAGAATCATTGTAATCAAAAGTCAAGACAACTCTGTCACAGTGAACCAGGCATAGATAAAAAGGAAGCCTATGTCACAGTTTATAAGAAAAAGATGGCAATTTCACGATTCATAGGAAAAATTAACAGAAGATAAACATAAAGAGATAGATAGGCTGGACCAATAGAATGAATGCAAATACTCTCTTAGTTAACATTTGTTAAGTAATAGGAACATCAAACATGTTCAAGACGCAAATATTTATTCAATACTCAACTCACTCAGCCCATCACAACCAGCAAACTCATACTCAACTGATGTTTTCTACAGAAAAGGGAAGTAAAATACAATACATAGCAAGTAGAGTCCAACTAACCTGCTGGTAAGAAAGTGGATGTATTACTGCACCACTGACTTCTAAGAAATAATCAGGAGTTATTGAGTGCAAATCTTGCACCTATCACAAATATTAGAAAAATATCATAATTTAGAACCATTAACGCAATAACATGCAATGCATCATTTGGACTTCGAGAAGATAATAGTAAGTGCATATGTGAGCTAATGGCTATTGGTAAAGTTCCTGAATCATAAAGGCCCCAAAAACAGTGGCATGCCAGGAAAATAGTAGAAATATGTTTGAACTCTTGTACCATGAAGGAGAAGAATAACTATAACTGTCAAGCATTCACATACTATTAAATTTTCTAGGTCAGAGTGCTTTTAACCTAAGTGATAGCAAATCTTCTGCTATTCTCCACATATTCAATGTTTTGAATTCATTAAGCACTACATATTGAAATTTGAAACTAGAATAATAGTATGTTTGACACTAAGTTATCATGCATCAATAAGGATTGAATAAATACTTGTTCCGTTCATGATTTAACCCCAAGAAAAAGATAAACTCACAAAAAAATCATTCCATGTCTGAGGTTCTTCATCTTCCACCCATTGACTCCTGATTTACAGTTCCTGCCCTTGCTTCATCCTCTAAAGGCTCTTTTGATGTTGTCAACTTGCCCCTCGGCTCTAGCACCAACTCCTTCTTTAAATCTAACCTACCACCAAGTGACTTCCCGTTGTATCTTAATCCACTCATAAACCTCATCCCACTTACAATCATTTGTCAACATCTTATATGCTTTAGTGTCTTCTTTGGATTTTGTTTATATTTCAATCTTAAACTTCAGGAAAATCTACCTTTGTTTTGGGTGTGCATAGTAAGGGTTGGTTCAAATGGACAAGTTTGTTTGTTTTCGGGTGTGCATGGTAAGGGTTAGTTCAAATGGACAAATTGATCATCTAAAAGCTTGATTAATTGTCAGAGGCTAGACTCAAATTTTTTGGCTTGATTATGGCATCATTGTTTCTTTGGTGCCCAAAATTACTTCTGCCCACTTGTTTCTCTCCGCCATTGCCATACACCATTGGCCTCTTTATCAGCTTGATATAACAAATGTCTTTCTACACGAGAAACTTGACAATGATGTTCTTATAGAGCAACCACCAAGTTTTATTGCTGAGGAGAGTCAAGAAAGGTTTGCTAACTACAATGTTATCTCCATGGGTTAAAAATAATCTCCTAGAGCTTGGTTTGGCAAGTTCAGCTCAATTATCGAAGGATTAGTAGTGATTCAAACAAGGGCCAATCATTCAATGTTCTATTGCCATACTTCTTTAGTTGTCTATGCAAATAATATTGCCATCATCGATAAAGATGAGGGTATTCTTCCACTCAAGCAACACCTTTTCAAACCTAAGGTATGGAAAAAATGAAATATTTTCTACAAATAAAACTTGCTTAATCTCAAGCAAAGGTTGCTATATCACAAAGAAGATATGCTTCACGGCCCGTTTGGAATAACTTAAAAGCAGTTTTTCAATTGTAATTTACAGAAAATGAGGTATGTGAGAAGAGTTTCTCTCGTCTTATGTGAAACGTGCATATAACTGCTTATAATCGTGATTGTGAGAGGAATTTTGCCTCGGCTTATGTGAAACGCACTTATAAGTGCTTATAATCGTAATTCCAAACAAAGCCTTGGACATATTGGCTGCAATAAGTATTTTGATTGAAAAGTAGTAATTACTCAATGGATCCTCTAACAAATCTAGCAAGAAATTGAAGATTGGTTGAAATACTCAATTGTCTTACCACTACTCGTCCAAATACCTCTTTGTGATGCTCATTTGGATACCCTAGTTCACATCCTTAGAAACACCAAAGTAACTCCAAGACAAGGTTTGTCATATGAAGATAAAGGAAATGCTCAAGCTGTTGGCTATAATGATGCAAAATAAGCTGGTTCTTTTGATAAATGATCCCCCACAGGATACCGTGTCTTTGATAAGGGAAACCTAATCTAATGGAAGAATACCAGTGTAGAAATGGAATATCATACTATGGCTCTCGCAATATGAAACTTGTATGGGTGAAACAACCTCAGGAATTGAGATGTGGAAATATCGATTAGATAGAGTTAATTTGTAACAATCAAGCAGCCATGCATATCGCTTTTAATCTAGTATTTCAAGAAAGAACCAAATCTATTGAAGTTAGTTGCTAATTTGCAAGGAAGGAGATACAATGCAGGTCCATTGGTACCAGGTCTTTCAAAGGCTGTTAGAATATCAATCAGAAATTAGGTCCTTAGATCATCTGGCAACTAAGCCAAATTAGCCCCTGGTTTATATGTAACAAGTTCACTGATTTATACGCACTCCAACTTGAGGGGAGAGTTAGAATATCAATTAGCAATTAGGTGTTGCACTTATTTGCAGATAATGGCAAATGATACGTGTAGGCATTCATTCTAGTAGTTAGTAGATTAATTTTCCTCCTCTTTATATATAGCAATGTACTTTCTCAAATAATTGATGAGAACGAAAACACAAAATAGAGATAGTAGAGATCTTTCTTCACTTTCTCATCCACTAGCATGTCTCCGTAGTTTGAAAAGTTGAGTTTTAATATAATTGGAGGGTTGTATTATCTTAGTAACACTTCCAATTTATTTAAATTTACCAAAAGAATGCTTTTGAGCCTCTTTCTAGAGACGAGAGGTGGTGGCAAGTTAATCACCAAAATGTTAACATTCTTTATTCCCATAAGAAAAACATAAACACCAGAATGCGTAAAAACGATAAGTGTAAACTATATAATATCCAAGCAAAGCTAATCTCACCAACAAGTTCACAGTCACAGATGTGTGACCCCTTTCAATTTGTAATTCAATGTTCTTGTTGACACTGTCATCAAGCAAAGATTCCAGTTTCAGGAACTGAGTGATAACCTGCGATGAATTTTATGGAGTCACTCCGGTAAAATAGATAACCAGTGAAGAATGCAGACAGCGGAAGTTCCTGTTTTGCAGTTTTCAGAGACAGAAAGTAGATTCTGCAAACTATAATGCTTGATCACTGATCTACTAGTGAGAAAGCTTCAAAAGATGATTTCAACCTAGGCATCAAGAAGAGGGCTTCTTTTGGAAACCCCAGTCCTAACATTAAAATTGTTGTTAAAAAAATTAGATCTTGACATGGCCTTGGAAGCAAAAACAATTCTGCAACAAATCAAATATATGTTACTTAAGCATCAACACAATTCTGCAACAAATCAAATATATGTTACTTAAGCATCAACGTTCTCAGTGTAGCATCAAAGTTCAGCATAATTATCATAAGCGTAATTATCATAAGCAACAGTTTGGATGCAAAACTCCTTCTACCATATGAATTATTCCAAACTGATGAAATCCCACATCAGGTAGTTCCAATATATAATTCTTTCCCTTCATAAGCCTGCTTTTGATGATGGGTTCCCCCATCATAAAAGACAGTTATTTTCTCACATCAAACCTCTATAACCAAGAATCGAACTTTATTCAGATCACTTAAATGATCAAGCTAGATCATTTTAAAGCCAATTCCTGTTCTATTGTTCAAACATATACATAGTATTGCCAATAGGAAAGTTATAGTGACCATTCCCACATAAAAGGGCAATAGAAACAAAGGAAAATCAGCCAAGAAATGAGAAGCAAATTTAAGAAAAGAAGCCATGAATCACTTCAAACAAACTTACTTGGCCATTGACACGAACAAGCACATCACCAGGTTCCAAATGCTTATAACCTGGGCCACCTGGCACCTAAGCAAGTCAAGGGTTAAAGCCATTAAAATTGAAAGGAAATACCAATGAATAAATCACCACGGTTTTAAATGACAAGTGCTTACCACAGAATCCACAACAAGCATTCCAGTTTCACCTGCTGGAGAAGCATGCCGCACTATCTAAACAAGCAAAGGAAGTATGAACAACACACGGCGTATAAACAAAAATGTTGCCCAGGAAACATAACACAAGTGAGAGCATAGAACAATAAAAACCTGCTCTGTCTCACTTTGGAGGCCAAGACGACGAATCTCATCAAATCCTTTATGGAGAAATGTCACCTGTATTATCAATTTTAACAAGTAAATTTACACAACGCTTGATTGCAAAGATAAAAAAGAAGCATCTGTTTGAAGGACAGTTTAGCTGCAAATCTACATGGGTAAAATATCACAACGATGAGGAACAAACTATAAGGAAATTTCTCGAGCAACATATATCTATCTCGCTGATCCTGATTCTCAGTCTATCACTTTCTATTTTCCACCACAATTACACCTTGTTAATGGAGAGGAAGCTTTAATTATAACAAATTTAAAATCATAATAAGACATTGCCACCAGTAAAGATGAGAAAAGGGTAAGCATGAAATCACATTCAACAAGCATTTTGTGCCATGACACTGGCCCATGTTTGCAACATAGTAAATTTGAAATGCAGTAGGTTTAAGTACTTCAATAATGCAGTTTACGGACATTTTCTGCCTCAATGTAATGAACAGATTGACTTCAACAGCCAAAAAGCGAGGAAGGGTTTGCAAAGAACAAACCTGGAGGGTACCACGAGGTATAGAAACTGCCTTCCATTTACCTAAACTAGCATCACTACCCTTTTGAAGAAACCTTAGAGCTCTCACAACCTGAAAATTAAATCATCATATCCATTTCACCTTTCATAAACAGAATTAGTTGCTCCTCACTAGAAGATTGGTGAAAAATAGGAAGCAACGGACAAGTATTAAACTAAGCAAATATAGAGGAAAAGCTTGCCCGCTCTAGAGGGAAAAAAAATGCTGATGCACTTGATGTTTTGCACCCAGCATTCAAGGCAACTGCTCTGCCTTGCCAATCTATAACTGGGGAGCCACTTGATCCTCCCTTCGTGCCGGATGCAGCCTGGAAATAGATAAGATTGCAATCAACAAGACAGAAGATGCACAATTACACACATACCAATGACAACGTGTAATACTAGTTCTAAACCACTTAGCCAAACAACTGCATGTTGACACTCCTTTCCCCCAACACCTCTTTCTTCTTAAAATTTTCAGCTATGAACTCCATTTCTCTTCTTTTTTTCAAAAAAATATATATATATATATATTTTGCGATTTAATAGTAATTGAATATACAATAGGAAACCTAACAGGAAGAATTACGAAGACAGGACCAGCCATATACACCCTAGAAAGCCATTACAGGTATTAAATTTTGAAGAAAAGAAAAGAAATCAAGATGACCAAACCCATAAGTTAAAATCTGTTCTCACTTACTTGCATATAGAAAGTATTGAAGTCATTATACCCATCCCTGCATCAAAATATAGCATGAGTTTTCTCCTTTCATGAGACTACTAGCATGCAAGTAACAACACATATCTATTACATACTTTTTATAGTGAGGAGCATCCCTGTCCAAACGAGCGAGTGTACCAGCCAAAATGGAGACCTAAAGTTAAAATTCAGAATAAATGCTAAATAAAAAATAAATAAAAGTCATAATCCTTGGTCAAAACATGGAGAAAATTGCAGTTAAACTCATAAATCAACCAGGAAATTGTGACCAATTAATTAGCATGACGTGAAAGAATTACGTACAACTTTTAGTGTTATGCCAATGGAAAGCAGTTGATGCTTGTGTGTCCAGACACGCTCACACACATGCACATACATACATGCTTTATATATTGACCAGAGAGAGATTATATGCATGTTTGTACTGGTGGTGGGAGATCACGTGCATTCCCCCACCTCATCCCCATTGAAGCTTTGGTGTTTGCATGCTTTGAAACACATGGAAATGCCAAAACAAGCATTCTATAACCAATGGGACACGTTTTACGTCAACCACATCTCTTAACCAAAACATGCTAGTGGAACTTTATTATGATTGGAACTAATTACAAAAACCCTCCAGCAAAAGAGAGATCGACATATTTCCTTTATATGAGCATCACTTTAACCCATATGTCCGTAACTATAAAGTAATGTTCAATTCGCTTGATTCTAGAAAGCATTGGCAAAAAACATTTGAAAAAATGACAGCTGAATAAGAAATATCTGTTATATTAAAAATATAAGAAGTAGTTAGTTAGTTAGTTAGTTAGTTCAGTGATTCCGTACAGAATTAAGCCGTTGGGAGCTAACCTATATAAAGGGGTTCCTAAATCAATTGTGGTGTGATGTTTTGTTTCCAGTGAAATATTCAATCTATTCAGTATTCTCAGTACCTCTCTCTCTCGTCTCTCTGTTTCTCCTACTCTTTCCCTCTCTTTCCTCTTCTTTTTCAAATATCATAACAATTGGTATCAGAGCCTTCGATTCTCGGCCTACCCACTGCGACTCCACACCATATGCCAGAAACTAGAACAATGGTGAACAACAAAGCATTAGACGAACGCTTACAAGTGATCGAAGACCAACTGGGCTCCGTTTCGACGCTACAGGAGACGGTTAATGGAGTCACCGATCAACTTCAGGTTCTGGCGCGAAGCATGGAGGACGTTCAACTATTGGTGGCGACCCAGAATGAAAATCGCGAGCAACCCAGAATCTTGAATCGAAACCAAGAAATGCGAAACCACGATGCGGCGCGACCTCGGCAGATGCAGTTCACTCGAATGGATTTTTTGAAATTCTCCCATCAAGACGTCGTCGCCTGGGTCCTGCGTTGTGAACGGTATTTCGAGTTGGATAATACACCTGAGGAGGCGAAGGTGAAAATGGCGAGCCTACACCTCGATGAAGACGCGTTCCGTTGGCATATAGCGTGCGAACGGCGATGGCGGGGAGCTCTACCAACGTGGGAAGACTATATCGCAGAATTGAAAGATTGTTTCGGTCCCTCCGATGGGCGACCTTCTTCGTTTGCGGCAACTAGGCACTCTCGCTGAATTCACTGTTCGTCGAAATTTGATATGGCAGAGGAGTTATTGGTGGACGCTTACCTCTCTCTGATAAGGGAAGAAATATCTGGGCCCGTTAGAATGTTCAGGCCCAGAACCATCAGAGAGGCTAAAAGCCTTTCCCGAATGCAGGAGATAACCAACGACCGAATTAGAGAAAAGAAAACAGGGGAAAGGGGAACTAGATATGTAGCCCCTGGTTCATCAGTGTCGTCCATGTCTCTTGCAACATCAACTCCATACAAGAATGCATTGCTTAATGGCAGCACCCAGAAAAAAGATAAGCTTGCCATTACTGTCCAGAAGAACACAAATGGTGCCTTCAAGAACTTTAACAAGAATTCCAAGATTCTTACGGCTGAAGAAGAGGCTGATCATAGGGCCAAGAACCTATGTTTCTACTGTCATGAGAAATTCTCAAGAGACCACAAATGTCCTCAAAGACAGAAAATGCAACTTCATTTCATTGATCTGGAAGAAGTAATGGAAACCAGTGGTTATGAAGGAACTGAACCAGAGGAGGATGATGATTCTATGCCTCTAATATCCCTCCACGCAATAAAAGGAATTGACAGCACGGATGCTATGAGGATTCAAGGCTTTGTGCGCAAAAGGAGTATTCAAGTTCTAATTGATAATGGGAGTACTCATGATTTTCTAGATTTTAATCTTGCTCAAAAATTAGGGTGGAAAGAAAGTGGTACGGATTTTTCCTTTGTTCAGGTTGCTGGAGGTAGAAGATTGAAGGTGCATGGGATTTGGCATGGTTTTAGATGGCGTATGCAGGGCATGGACTTTACATGTGATTTGAGAATCATAGAACTACAGACCTATGATATTGTTTTGGGTCTAAAGTGGCTTAAGACTATTAAAAGTGCTTTCTGGGAGTATGAGACCCTCACTATGCATTTCTGGTACAAGGGGCAGCTTTGCAAACTTCAAGCTACCCCTCCTAATTCAATGAGGATGGTGCCACCAAAGAAGTTGGGTTACAAGAAGGCTCAAGAGCAGCAAATGTTCCTGATTCACTTGCTGCAACCACAGGGACAACAATTGCAGCAGTGTCTTTCAATTCAAGATGTAGACGAGGGGGTTCCAACAGAAATTCAACAGGCTCTAACTGATTTTTCAGCTTTGTTTGAGGAGCCTAAAGGACTTCCTCCTTTACGTGAGGGGCACAATCACCCCATTGTTTTGCAAAAGGGAACTGATCCTATCAGTTTAAAGCCCTATAGATATCCTTCTGCCCAAAAGGATGTCATTGAAAAATTAGTTGGGGAATTATTGCAGAATGGGGTTATACAAGATAGCTCCTCACCATTTTCAGCACCCATTGTTTTGGTTAAGAAAAAGGATGGCACATGGAGAATGTGCATTGACTATAGGGAGCTGAACAAGAAAACTATAAAAAATCAGTACCCAATTCCTCTCATTGAGGATTTACTTGATGAATTACATGCTGCTAAGTGGTTCACTAAACTGGATTTAAGAGCTGGGTACCACCAAATCAGAATGGTACCTGAAGATGTGGAGAAAACTGCTTTTAAAACTCATGCAGGGCATTATGAGTGGCTAGTAATGCCATTTGGGTTGACTAATGCCCCTGCAACTTTTCAGGGAGCTATGAACAGTATTTTTAAACCATTCTTAAGAAAGTTTATTTTGGTTTTCTTTGATGATATACTGATTTATAGTTCTTCCTTGGCAGATCATGTGGAGCACCTGATTCAAGCTTTCAAAATCTTAAGGGAACATCACTATTTTGTGAAGAAATCCAAGTGCACCTTTGCTGCCAAGAATGTTGAATACTTGGGACACATTATAAGCAATGGAAGAGTCTCTACAGACCCTAAAAAAATTCAAGCAGTTGCTGATTGGCCTATTCCTCAGTCTATTAAGCAACTAAGGGCTTTTCTAGGCTTGGCTGGCTATTATAGGCGATTTATTAAGGGATATGGAGGGTTGGCTAAGCCCCTAACTCAACTTCTCAAGAAAAATGGGTTTAAGTGGGATGAATCTGCCACTACAGCTTTCAACAAGCTGAAAAATGCCTTAGTTACAGCCCCTGTTCTTGCTCTTCCAGACTTTTCTAAGCAATTTATTGTGGAAACTGATGCATGTGGCTTGGGTATAGGTGCTGTTCTTATGCAACAAGGCCAATCAATAGCTTTTTTCAGCAAAGCTTTGGCTCCCAAGCATTTAAATCTTTCTATCTATGAGAAGGAATTGCTGGCGGTGGTGCAAGCAGTGGAATATTGGCACCAATATCTAGAAAGAACCAGATTTGTAATCAGAACAGACCAGCAAAGTCTTAAATATTTGCTTGGACAGAAGCTAAAGACCCCTTTTCAAATGTACTGGATAGCTAAATTGATGGGTTATGATTATGAGATTCAGTACAAGAAGGGGAATGACAACTCGGTAGCTGATGCCTTGTCAAGACTACCTAGTTCACAGCTGTTACAAATGTCCCTTGACACTACTTCTCCAGAATTAATGAATCAGATTCAGGAAAGTTGGAAGAATGATGCTGATTTGGCTGCCATTATTTCTGAAATTGAGAGGAAGGGGTCTGCTCTTGGAAAATACACATGGGATGGCACTTATTTAAGGAGAAAAGACAAACTTCCAGTGGGAAATGATGCTTCACTAAGGCAGAAATTATTGGAGTGGATTCATGCTAGTCCACAAAGGGGTCATTCAGGAATTCAAGCCACCTATCAACGAGTTAAGGGGCTGTTTTGGTGGAAACATTTGCATAGGGATGTGCAGGACTTTGTTAAGGGTTGTGATACTTGTGCTCGCTGCAAATATGAGACTACTGCATCTCCAGGCTTATTGCAGCCCCTACCTGTCCCTAGCAAGGTTTGGGAAAGTGTTTCAATGGATTTCATTGAGGGTCTACCCAAATCTGGAAATAAAGAAGTTATTTGGGTTATAGTGGACAGAATGACTAAATATGCCCATTTTATTCCCCTCTCTCATCCCTATACAGCATCTACTCTTGCTCAATGTTTCCTAGACCAAGTGTATAAGTTACATGGGGCCCCGGTTGAAATCATAAGTGATAGGGATCCAATTTTCATCAGCAACTTTTGGAAGGAATTCCTTAAAGTCTTAAAGGTGGAACAAAAGCTTACATCGGCTTACCATCCTCAAAGTGATGGTCAAACAGAGGTCTTAAACAGATGCTTAGAGGCCTACTTACGTTGTATGTGTTGGGAAAGCCCTAAGGAGTGGAGTTCTTGGATATCCTTAGCAGAATGGTGGTACAACACTAACTTTCACACTTCTACTAAAATTACACCCCATGAGCTATTGTATGGGCAGAAACCTCCAATTTATGTTCCCTACATCCCTAGATCTGCTGTGGTTGAAGCTATTGACAGAAGTTTTGAAGCTAGGGAAAGAATGGTAGCTGTCCTAAAGCATCATCTACATAAGGCTGCTAATACTATGAAGCAAAGGGCAGACTTAAAGCGTTCAGATAGGGAGTTTCAAGAAGGCCAATGGGTTTTTCTTAAATTGCAACCTTATAGGCAGATTTCAGCTGCAACTAGAAGCTCTCAAAAGCTGGCTCCTAGATTCTTTGGTCCCTACAGAATTCTAAAGAAGGTTGGTGCTGTTGCTTACCGTCTGGAATTACCCTCTGAATCCAGAATTCATCCTACATTCCATGTTTCAATGCTTAAACTCTGTCCAGACCCAAGTGTTAAGCAGAGACATCCACCTATTGACTGGCCAGCAGTCCCTACCACTCTATATCCAGAAAAAATATTAAACAAGAGGGTTGGTAGAAAGAAAAGAAGGATTATTACAGAGGTTCTGGTTCAATGGAAGGGACTTCCTGATGAAGAGGCGACTTGGGTATCATTATTCAGTTTACAGAACCAATTTCCAGATTTTCAGATTATTGATCCTTGAGGGCAAGGATCTTTTGAAGGGGGGGGCATTGTTATATTAAAAATATAAGAAGTAGTTAGTTAGTTCAGTGATTCCATACAGAATTAAGCCGTTGGGAGCTAACCTATATAAAGGGGTTCCTAAATCAATTGTGGTGTGATGTTTTGTTTCCAGTGAAATATTCAATCTATTCAGTATTCTCAGTACCTCTCTCTCTCGTCTCTCTGTTTCTCCTACTCTTTCCCTCTCTTTCCTCTTCTTTTTCAAATATCATAACAATATCATTAGCATTATCTTGAACACTGGTAAATGAAATGAAACAAGAACTAGTCAGGCCTAAGTTACAGTATCATTATGCCAGTTCCATCGACTTGATCAATTAACATAGACCATTGGGACCATGGATGATAGATATAATATAGACATACCAAATAGCCATTTTCCTTCAGCAGCAAATTAAGATTGAAAAACAAAAGAAGAAGAAAAAGAAAAAGAAGAATGATATTTAAAAAGTCCAATGGTACAAGCTTGTCTATCAAATCATTAACCGGGTAACAAGAAACCAAGGGATGACAATAGAGAGGTGAAAATCATGCTAATACCTTCTCACCACTATCATTACCAACAACTCTAATCTCTAGTCCAACACAAGCCGCCTCTGGAGCAAGAGGTATCTCCTCATAGTTCAAAAACTGTATAGCACCAGGGTCATAGCGAAAGAACCCAAAATCGTGGACCTGAATAATGGCACATGAACGATGCTTTTATCAACACACACATGAACACACAAAGCGGGAATATTTCCAATCAATTTTGACTAACTTATATTAATATAACAAAACGAAAATACTTTGAACCCTAGAAAAGGTTGGTGTCAATAGATGTTTACAAATACATATATAAAATCTGCCTTTCTGCAACATGATGCAGGCAACAATGCAATGAAGCTTCTCCTCGTACGGAAAAGCATGCATGAGGCATGACTGAAATTCTAATCAAGTGAAACAAACAACTCTGCCGGCTAACAATCAATTTGATGGTTTTTGACAGCTCTTTGATAATTAAAGCTAAAAACAGAAGTCCACTCACTGGATCTCTGTAGATCGGATGCACAGGAACTTCTTCACGGTTCAGAAACATAGCCTCTGCTACTACGGGTCCTGCACATTTAAGACAGGAGGAGAATAGAATTTTAACAGATTTTAGACAAGAAAACCTTGAAATGACATAATGAGATAGAGAAACCCAGAAAATTAAATCTGCTTTCTTTTGACATTCAATAACGTGTCATCAGATAAGGGTTAGCCATAATATGACAGTGAAATATGGAATATTGATTTTAAACAACATTTCTCAACCTAGAAGAATTACGTGGTTTCCAGAAGGAAAAAAGAGCAGAAAAGAAAACAGAAGAGGAGGAGGAGGAGGAGGAAGAACCACCTCGCATTTCACCCATGATCCATCTGAACACGAAGACAGGTAAGCAAATAATTACCAGAAACATTACTTTCAAAATACGAATCTCATTTAAATTGGGTGCGCATTTTTGCCTTCAAATAAAATTGCATCCAGAAACCCTGTTTAAGGAATGTTTGGGAAACTGTTGGGAAATAATAACCGTGATTCTCACTTCAAATAACTGAAAGATAGTTCATCCAAGGCATGTTGGCCTGAAGCCCACTGTTTCAGTGGTTTTTTTTTCCTGATCGGAACAAAGAATTGAGAGTAAGTACCAGGCTTCACAACATGACGATTAGTAAGAATGATTCCCCGACGCTTGTCAACAACAAAGCCAGTGGCGGAGCCGACACCGGCCGACTCAGTATCAAAAGCCCGGCAAGCCGTAGTTCGCAAAACAACGACAGCAGGTACGACTCTGTTCAGGGCTTTCCTCCAATCGTCGGCGGTGGCAACATTTTCCTGGAACGGAGGGTCGATTTCCATGCAAAGGTCAGCCTTCATGCTCGAGTCTAACCCGATCGATGCCACGGCCTCCGACCCCAGCCTTTCCAGTGAATCCCCCATTCAACAGCTCTTGCTATCTCAAACTATACTGGAGTGATAAAACTAGAAAAAATTCCCAACAGAAATTGAGGGAACGATTAGGGGTGGCTGTTGTGGGTCAATAAATGCTTAGTCTGAAAGCTCTAGTCAACTCCCATGCGATTCATCCCCGCGTGAACGATCTAGGTCCAAAAGGGTTTTTTATTTGAATTCATTTTTGTAGATTGAAATTAGTGGGGAAAAAAGTCAATCAGTATAATTTTTAGGGGAAAAAAATTCAAAAACTTGTTATGATAAGAATAATCTCTCCCGGGGGGTCCCTGACTTGTCTTTAGAACTCAAGGTATGAGGAAAAATATCGCACATCGCGCAAAAAAAAAAAAGAGAAGAAAAATATCGCACGGATATATAAAGTTAAATTAAAATATTAACCTAATCCAAATTGCGATATACTACCTCTAGTCCTTAATATTAGCTTACTAATTTGAGAAGATTAAAAAAATTAGTTAAATTAGTTATTTGTAATAAATAAGTACTCTCCTTCCTATAATACTCCTGCTAATCATATGTATTAGTTAAAACTACCATTTAATGGAATATTCAACGTGTGTAACTATTACTAGGACAATTTTAAAAAAATAGATAAATATAAAATACAAATGAATTGGGGTCTTAATGTTTTATATTGAGAACTAAATTAAAAGTCAAACCAGCTCTTATATTAAGGAACAGAGGTAGTAGCTTTTTAAATATTTGCTATGCTTGTAAAATTTATTGACAATAAATGCAATGGCTACTATTATTAAACAAATGTCTCTATTTAAATCCTATTTAACAGGAACTATGTTATAAAATTAAATGGATTAGAGGTATTTTATAATTAAAGTTTGATGAATTTGGCAACTCCGGAGAAACAAAGGTGTCCGGCGATGAAACGTGCCAACATGCCCTCAACCTTGCAGGCCACGTTTGGATTGCCGTTTGTGATAGTAAAAACACATGGAGAAATATGAAACTGAAGTTTGTAGCTTATTTAGATATAATTGGTTATTTGAATGGGTTTTTACACTAACTGACTTATAAAGAAAAATGGCATTCAGTTCCAATTTCCAACGCTCAACAAAGTGACTTCTAGATTGTTTGAAAATGCGATCAACTGTTGGATTGCATTAAATGAGCATTAAAATTTTCAACTCTCATATTTACCCCTCCCATTTTCCCCTCAATTTTCACTGAGCTCTTCTCCTTCTTCAGTGTTCTCATGCTGCTTTCCCTCAGAACAGAATCAAGCATTACAGACGCAGCTGCCAAAAACATCATCATGGGAGCCTTGCAGAAGAAGAGCTTGTGTGTCGCAACCCACACCCAGAACGACGTTGTCCTTCTGAGAGTAAGCAAAAGGGCTGGCAGTCATTTTTAGGGGAAGACTTACAATTGCACCGCCATGTGTGGCGGGGATTTTGCAGTGCCATGCGTATATGGGGTTGTTGACCCAGACCTTGCAGGAGCTGTAATTGAATTTGGTGACCTCCAGTCGAATCTTCTTGAGATATGGCTTGGGAATTCCGGCAGAGTCTCACGAGCAACTGATCTCAAACCACTTGTTGTGGTAGCAACAGGGTTAGTTCATTCTGAAGGGAGAAGAGATTGTGATGTTTCCACAAGTGGAGTTACAATTAGGACATGCCAATGCCAGCGGAAGTAGAGAGATGAAGACCAGATGCAGAGCCACATGGATGTGGAGGGAGATGAACGAATGAGATGGAAGTGAGGAGGCGGATGGATATTGACTGGGATTAGTAAAGTAGTATATATGGCAAGACTTTTTTAACATGGGGTCTTCGGATGGATATTGACTGAGGGGGTGTTAGCTAAACTGGACCAAGCTAACACAGTCTAATATCCAAGGCTTTAGTCCAAGTAAGGCTACTCATTCTCAACTCATTAACGGGCCACGTTAGGACTCTCAGCTTTGAATACTAGATCTAGGATAACTGGAAAGATTGTCACTAAACACTCCTTCATGGATCGTGGTCAAATTCTATTTTCTGATGCACAGGATTCTCTTAAAGAGTCAAGTGCAGAGCATACTTAGAATCTCTAGCGACAGAAGAAAGACATTATAAGTGAAGCTTTCAGAAGAAGAGAGAAATTTAGAGACAACTCATAAGAAAAGCACACTAGTATTATACAATGAAGTCGATACAACTCCTTCTGCCTCTAACTGATGGCAGAGTGGGGTTTATATAGAGGCTCGGGACCACTACATGACAAAGTCTTAATAGTACACATTATTATGACAGGTAGATGTACTAGTAGACGTCATTATGACCTGACATTTAATAATCACAACTACTAACTACTCTCATAATGATACCTAATAATGACAACCATTCCATTTATTACAAGAGGACAAAATAGACTACAGGACAAACTATTTTAATAAAGTAAAAGTAGATGGAGACATAAAGTAGGATTCTGGCGGGTCCCGCTTTATCTTCAGAGTATCCCAAAAGGAGATTTTCTGATGATAATGTTCCCTAGTCTTTATAGATAGGCTCATGGCTAGGGGATAGGTTCATGATGCCTTCTAGGTCAGGGTCATCTGAGTCATAGTGTCTCTTTGTGCAATAGTAGTCTTCGAGCTCTGAATCAGGGTCATCTTGGTTAGGATCTTGGGATTCTCCTGCAAGGAATGGAGTTGTGATTGGAAACTTGGCTGAGGGAGATAGAGTCTTCAGGCTGAGTGAATTGAATCTGTGAATCTTCGTCATAAGGGTCTTTAGAGGCTTCTGTTTGTGGAGGGACCTGTAACCTATTTGGTGGAGGTCTGACAGCACTCATGATGAAATCTCTCTGGAATTCTTCAAGTGTTGTGCTGCTAGCTGACAGTGAGCTTGGAGGGAAAGGTCCAAGAGATAAACATGAAGTGTCTTCTCCCGTATCAGGCTGGTTAAGTGCAGTTAATGTCTTCCCAATTTTTTCCATTAATAATGTTTCCTTTCTGGGCCATGAGGGGGTGGTGACTTGAAGGATCATACGGTTGTCTGTGTAGAGCCTCTGGTCAGCACTTATACCATAGTTCCTAAAAAAGGTATACAGACAGAAAAATCTTTTTTGTTTGGGAGTTGGTAAGTCCCAGATATTATGTTCCTTGAGAATTTTCCAAAGTTTTCCTCTCCAGTAGGGAAGAGGAGCAAGCATCTCAAAGAGTGTGGTAATAGGAGAATTTTCATTTCTGAAGTCATTCAGGTGATCATGGACGACTACAACTGAGAAGGCTATGGTACAGGTATAATTGGCTGAGACTGACCAGATGTACCATAAAAGTTTCTCTGGTATGGGTCCCTTGATGATGGGAACAGTGAGGTAAGGAGCATCGGCATCAAAATGCTGAGGATAAGGGTGAATTTCGGTGTCTACAAAAACACGATGGAGCCAGTAGAACATAGTGCTTCTGGCAAGGTTTTGGACATCTGCTGGAGATTCAGGATGGGATCCAGGAGGAAAATGGTGGCTCTATTCTGTGAGGCATTTTTGGTTTAGAGATGGTTAGGATGAAGAGAGGTTGATGTCTGGAGAGTGACAGGAGTTTCGGAGGCTGGGAAACTTTCTGAGGTCTTGTGAGGAAATTTGCTATGATGTTCTGGTGACCTTTGAGATCATGAACGGTGAATTCATAGCGAGAGAACCAGTCTTTCCATCAGAGTAACTGGCTATTTGGCAAAGTCTTCCCCTTGGGATTAAGCATTCTGGGAAAAGACGTATTGTCCATTTCTACTCTGAATTGATAAGCATTGAGATGAAAACTGAACTTCTCGATTCCTCTTTTAACTGCAAGGATCTCCTTGTAGGTAGCATGATAATGCTTTTTTGACTCCTTGAATTGTTCGCTTGCATGTCCACAGTAAAATCTCTTTCCATCTATCTCTTCAATTAAGACAGCTCCCCAAAAGTCATCACTGGCATCAATCTGGAGGATTCATAGCCCCCTGTCAGGAATCTTTTGAAGGAGGTAGTTGTTGTGCAATTCTTTTGAAGGTCTTGACAGCTGAGGTCTGCTCTGTCCCCCACGCGAAAGGATTCTTTTTGAGAAGTTTGGATAGCTGTCTAGTATGATTTGACACATGAGGGATAAAATCCCGAAGATAATTAATAATCCCCAGAAATTGTTGGATTTGCTTTGTTGTCAGATTATCGTCTGGGAATTCGAGCAGTTCTTCTGCAATGTGTGGTCCAGGATAACACTAACCATTTTCAAAATGCATTCCAAGAAACTCTATGCTTTTGACACCTATTTCTCCTTTCTTTGCCAACAATATAATCCCATATTTTTCAATTATTTCCCCGAACTAGGTCAATAAAAGTTTATGGGAATCCTCATCTTTTGAGAAAAGTAAAAGGTCATCAATGTAAATGAGGAGGTTATCAAGCATAGGTTAAAAGATTCTAGTCATGGCCTTTTGGAACAGTGATGGGGCGACTTTAAGCCCAAATGGCATGATAGTCCATTGGTACTGGGCATTTGGAATATAGAAAGCAATTTTGGGTTGATCTTCTGGGTGGATACCCAATTGCCAAAATCCTGCTTTGAGGTCAAACTTAGAAAATATTTTTGCATCTCTAAGATGGACTGTAAATGAATTGGGCTTTGGTAAAGGGAATTTGTCATCTTGAAGGAAAATATTAAGAGGCTTATAATCAATGACTAACCTTTTCTTTCCTCTTTTGATTTCTGATCTTTTTTCAACATAGAATGCCTGGTGTAACATCCTAAGTTTTATCGGGTTTTAATAGCCTCTTTTGGGTTGATTTTGAGGATAGATTAGTGATTTAATCTTGATCTTGGTGTTTGGGTTGGATCTGAGGTTGGTTGGAGGCATAGGTGAACGTACCCCTCTCAGGGTATGTTCGCCGCGGCGAAGTAAACTTCGCCGCGGCGCACCGGGAGTTTCAGAGGGGAGTGTCTTCTCGGGAAGGTTTGGCCGCGGCGAAGTCTAGGGGACGCCGCGGCGAAGTTGTTCAGGTGAGCGAGGCTTCCCTTTCGGGAAGGTTTCGCCGCGGCGAAGGTAGGGGTATGCCGCGGCGAATGTTTTCTGGGCGAGCGAGAGTTTCCTCTCGGGAAGCTTTCGCCACGGCGA